AAGGCCACCCTTGACCAACTTTGCGAGTTCGCCACCTAGAGTTCATCAAGTTCGCCCTTACCTTTACCAGTTCGCCCCACTTCAGGGAGTAGTAGGAAGGGGGCGTGCGACCTTGCAATGGGGAGAAACTGTTGGTGACCCAGTTGCACGATACGTACCTTAGAAAGTTTAGAGAACATTCGGTAGCAACAGCTTTGGCCAGTAATGTTTTACCAGTACCAGGCGGACCGTACAACAGCACCCCTGTGAAAAGATATTACGTTAGTTTAAATTTACAAGTGAGGCAACGGCAATGGGCAACAATTAGGATTGCTGAAAGTAAAGTGAAGTGTGAACTTGTGAGAAACTTATTGATAGAACTTTTGTGAGTCGTTGAGAGTCAAGTTTATTTCGTTCTAGCTGAATCCTACTGTTTCAAAGAGAATGGCTCTTGGACTTTTGAGACAAGGGAATCAAGTGTTTCGGTTTGAGTAACAACAAGTTGTGAAAAGCACGTTTAAGTACACGTATTTAAGGCATAAATTCGTCACAAAAGTCTTGTCACTTCTTTGGTAAAACTACAGTCAGACCCGATTAATTCAAATTGCTCAGCAGTTTTGAAGAAAATTTTAATTTTGGGATTTAGACCATACGGCAGTAACGATACCTTGGGACCAATTTACAACATATTACTGTACCTGATCTCCTCAGCCCGGCTGCAAACAGCTCTGGATGCTGCAGCGGTAACTGGACAGTGTCCAAGATTTCTGCTTTCACCTCTGCCAATCCTCCAACATCTTCCCATTTAACACATGGTATTTTAGGCGCTCCAATCGCATCTGACAAGGACGACTGAAGCATCTCTAGGGAATCTTCAAAATCCTGCTGGCAAATTTTGCCTCCCATTTTGCTCAGCTCTTGCTCAAATTCCCATGGAAACCAAGTTTGGCCTTTGGTTTCAGTTGAACGCCCCAGTTTCCCAGGGCACTCCTCTAAGAGGCGCTTTACAGCAGTATTTGCGGCATTTGAAAACAGAGCAACCAAGTCTGCCAGCACCAGTCCTGCAGTTCTCCTTGCCAGCGATTCAAACGGCACTTCATTTCCTACAGACAGCATCTCAGCAAGTCCCCTAAGCATATCACATCTCTCCTTCTCATTGGGTGCTTCAAGTTTCAGCTCGTGAAGGAAGCATGAGTACATGTCAGAGGTGATGTCATTAGCAGAGGATGACGTCGCTATGACGACTACTGGCCAATCTGAATCGTCCTTTAGGCTGCTGAGACAATTGAGCATTGTGGCTGCTATTCGTGGTTCGTCGTCATTTCCTTCTTTGTCTTTTCCCAGAGCATGGATGTTGTACAATAACAGGACACAAGGTGAGCAGAAAACAGCTAAACAAAAAAAACAAAATATATGGTAAAATCAGGCACGCTGATTTACTGTACTGGCCTAATGAGAACCTTACTACACGGACGACAATCACATCTCCTTACAATGATATGTTATGTTCTTTCGCGTGACATCCCATACTAAAACAGTGCCTCCCTTTACTCAAAGGAAATAGTAGGATTCTATTTTAATCAAAGATTGGCAATGAAAAGTTCGATTTACAAGAAGTGTAAGCATTTTTGGGGTCATATGTCTGCACTTGTTTCATCTCACTCAGTCAAGAATTACACCTGTACCTGCGGACATTATTCATCTCCTACAAAATTCCAGTGAACCATCCATGGTCAACCCTCACACCAACCAAGCCCCATTTTAAGAAGATACTCAGATAATTTACTTGGCTTGTCCACCTACATAAAACACTGAATTCTGCCAACAGTTTTTCATTTGAGTAGAATTTTACACCCCTGGGCTTAGCTTAAGGCACTGTAAGAGTGCCCTGCAGAGGAACCCTACACAAAGTGTCCCTTAGAATGGCAGCTACATTAAAGATAGATAAACAAGGAAAAACAAGTATAGGCTTCCTTGCTCCAAATCACTAAAAGATAGTTGTCCACTTCAAGCAACAGCACAAAAAGCTAGGCACTTTATTGGCCAAATTTATGACAGATACATACCTCTTTGGAATACATTTTTCAGTCTTGTCTCTGTAGCTGCCACTGATTCACCAATCAGATCAAAGCAATTGACCTCAAAAGTATGCATGTTCAACCTTTTGCTTGTTGCTTTGGCAATCGTCCTCTTTCCAGCTCCAGGAGGGCCAGTTAAGAGAACACTACATGGAGGCAAGGGGTGGGTCTCTCTGGAGCAGAAAGATATAATCAGTTAGTTGTAGTACATTTGTGTACAATCAATGAAAAACAATGAAAACTTTTCTCAAGAAATATTTGTTGAGGTTCATGTATTTGACTCTATCCTGGCCAATGAATGCTTTTCACCTTGGTGAATAGTAAAATTAATGATCAGTTTCTTTATTGTAACCCTGACTACACCTAACAACTGTATGCATATTCTCCATAGTGTTCTCTATACATTACCTAAGATTCCAACAAGGAGAATTTGTATATCAATCAAGAGCTTCTTTAGTTGCTGATCATTTCCTTTATTCTTGTGACCTTAATGTGTGATTCAGGGGTGATATTGTAATGAGAAATTAGATGGTAATCATTCTCAGAGGTTAAAGGGCTAATAATTCAAGAACCTCAAGCCACAGATCTGTACCTGGTATTCAAATGAGGATGTACAATATTGACTAACTCAGCAGTGTAACTGTTCAGCCCAGCAGGACTAAACTTCTCCCAGTAATTTGATCTCAAATCACAGAACTGTCTCTTCCAAACAGGTGGCACATAACTGTGTACTGTGCCTCTCTGAGAAATAAAATGATATATAATTGGCTACAAAAGGCAATCATGTACATATACCAGTAATTTAATTGGTACCAGTGCCTCTGATTTTGCTTTCTTTTCTTGTAATGTTTATATAGATGTAACAGAAAAGACAGGCACATCTCTTGTTCATGTAAAAAAGTTGAACAGAGCCCTGATTATGACCTCTTGAGATGCAAAATGCAAGAAAAACAAAAGAAACAAAGAGAAAGAGGAGCATTCATACATGTACAATAAAATGTTTGATGACTAAGAGGGGCTAGACTGTAGGTCAAAAAGAAAAAAATTTGCCTCTTACTCATGATCACAGTATGAACCTCACTGTGCTTTATCTATACTCCGTGACCTATGTATTTGTAAAGCTAAATATTTTCCCATCACATCCATTCAGTCAATGAGTACATTGTACTGGTAGTAATGTATATGAACCATTAGCTGCAAAGGTCTTATCCTTTTAAACTTGTATACCAAGTGGACTGAAGCAAAGACCATTGAAACAAACAATAGAAACTTACCTGATAAAGGGAAGTATGTTCTGTGTGCACTAAACAAGATTTTACTTCCTGAGCTGCGCAAACAAGCCTTGTCACTTGAAAGAAAACAACCAGATTTCTGCGTCCCTGATCATCAGGTGAACCCGACTCCTTAGAAAGGTCACCATTTTCTTCCCAATTATGAAACATGTAGAATACATCTCCCACTGTCAACATTCTTGGAGTTTTGAAATGTTTTGCCAATGCATGATCAAAAGAATCCACGGCTTTGTAATAAGGAGAGTGCACCAGGGCAATGTGAGCTTCATTTGCAAATGCAGGTTTTCTACTCATGCTTGCAGTGCTAGTGATCTTGTGTTCTTCCTTCTGTATGGTTTCTGGGATTGGGTAGACATAAATACTAGGCCTTTGGTTTTCATTAAAAAGGCTGTCATGAAACAAATTAAAGTAGAGTAAAGGGGCAATGTATCCTATTCCATCTTCAATTTTGCCAATTGAATGCACAGGGAAAATTTCACTATTATTCAAAAACTCATTTTCATTATTCTGGGAAGCAGTTACCACAATTTGAACCATATGACACTTCTCACCGCTGTGACTGTCATGCAAAGCATTTGAAGCTTCTTCTGAAGAACCCTGTTCCTGCTGTTGATTACAGACTACATCCTGATTTTGATCAGTGCAGATTTTGACCCAGCTGCCATTGAACATCTGTAGGTCAATCAAAGTTGACAGTGACACAAGGAGCCTGCTTGATGGATCAAATGCCAACTTGCTATGACTTCCTTCATTGAACTCCAAAACACTAGCTTTTAAATGGTTGCCAGGCCTGGTTGAGCTACCAGACAGTGCAAGTGGTTCCACACAAAGCTGACTCCTGGAGAAGTGGCGTGCAAAATCAGAGACAAGAAACAATTCATTTGCATTGGATGGCACCACAGGAGGATCCACTTCACTAATTTCAGAGTCAAAAATAACATCTTGGTTATTCAGCTTGGAAATAACTAAACAAGTTTCTGATGTAAGGCCTCCTTGTACTAGAGGCTTACACTGCAGTATAGACAATTCTAACCACTGCTTTTCCTTGGTTCCACTTAATATTTTACGTTGATCATGAAAGAAATTCAGCTTGCCATTTTCTCGTACATTTATAGGTCCATTTGAAAGACTTTCGCGAAGAAATGCTACTAATGCGCTCTTAGCCCATGAATATCTCTCTTCGGATGAAACGCCAATGACAATTCTCTCCAGTGGAAAAGGGTTCACCCTTTTACACCAAACGATGTCATCAACATGCAGCTGGTGGGTTTGAAGAACGTCTTTAAAAACAAAAACTTTCAAATTTCCATCAGATGGTGGAATTTTTAGATCAGCTTCAGTGCAAGTACAAGCATTCAGTATCAAACTCTTCTCTGTAGTGGAATTTTGAAGGCCGTTTCTAATCTCTAAAGCAAACCTCTTTCCCACTTCTTCGATGAATTTAGAGTTACCATTAGCTAAAGGAACGATACCGTCCACGAAGGGAAGATCAGAGGCACAGGTGGAGACAAAATCCTCTTTGGAAATTAGACAAATCACTGCCCTTCGGTAAGTATCGTCCGCCATTTTCCAGTGAGCTATGCTGCCTGGCGATGAAGCTCTGATACCAGTCTCCACTCGTCAATGCATTTGTTTTGTCTTTGAAGCTCAATATTTTAGAACATCAGGCAGGTACCACATGTAATTCATGGACTGTGTTATCTACGTTATGCAATGCGTTACGCACGTTCCATAGTAGATTTCGAGGGAAGAACAGCTTAATGGCCACATATAAACTTGGGTTTTCATTCGAATTATTGTTTGTTTTGATTGCAGTACACATACATTTGCTGTGATGTAATGTTGCAACCAGTCCAATTTTGAGATTTGCGATGTCTGCAGAGAATCTGCAAAAGGACGAAGTCGAAGAGCCCTTGCTTCAAAAAAATCCTAACAGGTTTGTCTTGTTCCCCTTAAAATTCCCTGACATCTGGGATTTTTACAAGAAAGCTGTCGCCTCATTTTGGACAGTGGAAGAGGTCGACCTCGGATTCGATCTCTTCGACTGGGAAAAGCTGAATTCTCAAGAAAAAGAATTTATATCTCATGTTCTAGCGTTCTTCGCTGCGAGTGATGGCATAGTTGGAGAAAATTTGGTTGAAAGGTTTTACCAGGAGATACAAGTTCCTGAGGCGAGATGTTTCTATGGATTTCAAATCGCAATGGAGAACGTTCACTCAGAAATGTACTGCCTGTTGATTGACACTTATATTAAGGACCGGGATGAGAAACAAAAACTTTTCAATGCTATTGAAACTTTCCCCTGTGTAAAGAAGAAAGCTGAGTGGGCCTTCAAATGGATGAATAAGAACTCTGCTGCAACTTTTGGGGACAGAATTGTGGCCTTTGCTGCTGTGGAGGGGATCTTCTTCTCTGGGGCTTTTGCATCAATTTTCTGGATTAAAAAAAGGGGGCTAATGCCTGGACTTACCTTCTCAAATGAGTTGATATCAAGAGATGAAGGACTTCATTGTGATTTTGCTTGCTTAATTTTTTCACATTTGAGGCAGAGGCCAGGTAAAGATCGTGTTGGTGAGATTCTAAGCGAGGCAGTGACCATAGAGAAAGAATTCTGGATAAGTGCATTACCTTGTCATCTACTTGGAATCAACTGTAACCTCATGGGAAAGTACATAGAATTTGTAGCCGATAGGCTTTTGGTTGCATTAGGATTCGAAAAACATTACAAAACTGCAAATCCTTTTCCATTTATGGAAAACATTTCATTGGAAGGGAAAGCTAATTTCTATGAGCGTAGAGTTGGAGAGTACCAGAAGAATGGTGTAATGAATGACAGAATGGAAAATTATGTGTTCACTCTTGATGCTGATTTTTAGCCAGTGAGATTTTTTTATTTAATATTTAATAATGTTTGTTTGGTATTAAACCTGGACAATTTGCCACTGTATAAAACCAGTGTGATATTTTGTCTCTAGAAAATGATCCCTTTTAGGTGTTCAGAAAACATGGGCTGGGATCCTCCTTGCCCTCCGTGATACCTGCCCTATGGCCATCTCTATGACTTACCTTAAAATGGATATTTTATGGGAAAGAAAACAAGGAAAATATTGTTTATGCATATTGATCCACTGTTTGACCCTTTACATCCTAACATCAGTATCAATATTCTCCATACTGTTCTCTATACATTTCCTAAGGTGCTGACAAGGAGAATTTGTTTAACAGTCAAGAGCTTCTTTAGTTGGTGATTATTTCATTTATTCTCATGACATTAATGTGTGATTCTGGGGTGATATTGTAAGGAGAAATTAGATACTAGTAGCCCTTAGGGGTTAAGGGGTTAAGTCAAAGGGATCTCTGTGTCTTCCTCAAGGGTCCTCTCAGTGCTAATTTCAAGACAGCACCTTCCCCCCCCCCCAACAAATGAAATAAAGACATTCACCTCCCTCTTGCAGGGTATCCATGGTTGTTATATTATAAAAGGCAGCACATTTGACAGCATGCACAAGAAATGTACTGTCACAAAATTTGTTTCACTGAAAGCTCTGTTGGGAGCTAGTTTTTGCAAACTTTTGTTCAAGCAGCAGATCATTAACCAGGAAGCAGGTATATCAAATAGATTAAACTTTTATATTGTTTTGAGAAACAGTGTAATTTCCATGTTAGGAAAAATTCAAATTGTTTGTTTCTTAGTTTTTTGTTATTGTTGTTGTTTATCTTTATCTTAACAGTTCTGAATGGTCTTAAATGTTTGCAGTGTTTCATCCAGTAAGACTATTTTTCTCTTGATGGGAGCCACTTTTTTTAAGAATCAAAGACAGGGTGTAAAACTCGCAAACCCCAACGCACGCAACACGGTACCCTCTCCTCACGGCTCCCGGCCCTACCCCGGCGGGTACCGTCGGGACATCCCTTAAAAAAAGGTACTAGTATCCAATCTCCTTGGCAAGGTAATTTTCAAAATGGCGGGTAAAGACGATGCTGTGATAGATGTGAGTTTGAATGGAACATTGGAGCCAGCCAGCCCGTCGTTACAAAATTGCATCAAATACTCAAGCACTGGAAAATACTTCAGTGTCCTGTGTGACTTTGGAGTGGCTTTGATTCTTGAGATAAAAGGTACTTCAAGAGTGTATGTCAGTCTAAAACTCGAAATGAAATGTCGTGAGTCAATGTTCGCTGTGCGTTTTTGGAAGAGAGCTAGTCAAAGATTAGTAATTTTGTAGGTACAAAGTTTGCAGCTGTCCCCTTGTGTGCCCTGGAGGAAGTGCAATACCTTCGCAGCGCGAGCAGTAAACTTCCTGTGAGTGCGTTGCAGTTTCAAATGTGGGACCTACATTCATTAGCATTCGAAATAAAGCATCGATTGCTACTGTACAATTTAACTGTGTTCATGTTGTGAACAAGTTCTTCCGTGCAAGAGTACTTCTTTCCGTCGAAATTCTTCACTTAAATTCGGAAAGTAACTTTTTGAATGACTACTGTCACGGGGAAGTTGCTGAGAATAGTAAAATTGTTGCAGTTAAATCCATTTTACAATTTCCTTCATAAGCGACCTTGCTGATCACCTACGCGATTTCTTCCTCTCTATGTTTTCCTTGCCAAGTCTCCATATTCAAATACTGACAGATCAATTTTTCATTTCTTACCTTTGGTGTAGCTATGTTTCAGAATACTTCAAATTATATAATTTAATTTTCTTTCAGTATCAAAATTCTGCTGTAATGAGACAACATGCAAACCAACTCTTAAGCTTAAAATTTTAATTTTGAATGGCCTTGCAGAGCATGATGACAGCTTCCAGGCAGTCATTACCAAGAAACTCTCATTTGGTAAAGGTGAACTTCTGGAAGGCCATGCTTGGTCCTGTGATGATGAGATTTTTGCTGTGGCTGGATGCAAAATCCGTCTTTGTAAAGTAAGCATGTGAAATCTTAGTGGTACCTCTGCTACTTCTGTTTCTGGGAGCAAGATGTTGCAGAGTGCCCACCTCCTGCTGCTGTGGCTTGGGTTGATTCCCAGACCTTTTATGATAGCTGCCAAAATCTTTCATTTTTATCCAACATTGGGTACTCTTAGAATCTATGAAAAATAAGACTGGAAAGCTAAGATGCCATTTTTTCAATTTGACCAGATAAAAACATATGATAGGCAAGGAAATTTGCAAGACCTGGGTTCAGTTTATTGTTGATTCTTGTCCTTGCACAGAGAATTTTTTCTCCAGGTCCTCTGGTTTTCCTCCCTCCCCAAAACCCTCACTCCAAATCCCAATTCAACCTGGAAAAATGGACAGAAAGAGCCAACTCATGGAATATTCACTGCTAAATCATTATTTATTATTATTATTATTATTATTATTATTATTATTATTATTATTATTATTATTATTACTGTTATACTTCTGGCTCTCATTGAATGATAGCTGCAATGTTATCAGAAATGTCCTGTACTGTTATTGTCGTTTCTTTTTTTTTTCTTTTTGTTGCTAGTGGATCAAAACATTAATCCTCAATGTTTTCTCACATCAAATGGCTAGATCTTTGGTCTCTTTAACCTTTCCAATTCCAAGGATATAGTTACTTGAACCAATCCTAGAAGTATTTCTCTGTAGACTTACAATACTTTATATTTTAATTGTCAGGTCAACAATGACTTCCTCATCTTTCACACTATTCCTTTGTATTATTTGCCAAAAGACATATCCATCATCTTGAGTGACTTTTCATCATCCAATGAGGTAGTGTATGAGTGACTATTTTAAAAATAAATAAAGTTCCATTAAGTGTTTTAAGCTTTTGGGTGAATGTCTCGCCACAACTGAACCTGTATTAAGCGTTTGCCCACAGGGAATGGCAGGGTGACTGCTTAACCAGTGCTCAGTTTTATTCCTTTGTTGGAAATGGTTACTGTGAGTTTGAAATGTTTGGCCCAGTGCCAGCGTAATGCCAAAACTTTGACTTCTAAATCTGGTTTGTGGCTTCCCATATGCTGAAGACTTAGACTTGCTCCACTTTATAACTTTGCAGATTTTAATTATTATTCTGTTATTTAAATACTAATTGTTGGTTAAATTTATTTAATTGCTTGCTGATTAGGAAGACTTAAAGTAATGCTTCAGCTAATATCTTGACATTTACATTTAATTTTATCTCTTGCAACCACTTTCTCAACCCTGTACACCCTAACATCAGTTGTCATATTTTCCCTACTGTTCTCTATAAATTTACTAATATACTGAAAAGGAGAATTTATCAAACAGTCAAGAGTTTCTTTAGTTGGTGATCATTTCCTTTTTCTCATGACATAAATATGTGATCAAGTGGTGATATTGTAATGATAAATTAGATGCTAGCCACACTTAGTAGTTAAAGGGTTAATGTAACCTTAAGTTTTCTCTTTTGATTCTTCAGATTTATCAGTTAGCAGTTGCCAGTCCAAATGGAGTGGAGCTTTATCAAATGGAGATGACAGACAACTTTAAAATTGTACCTCGAAAATAAATTTTTGATTTTGAATTATAAGATACATTTTCTCTCTGTGTTTGCATTGTCTTTTTCATATGAAACAGTTTGTCTTTTTTTCTGTCAGGATGGGTCCCTATCTGTTCATCCAGATCTGGCCATTGCATTGGTGGAATTTTCTCCAGACAAACTGAACCTGGCTGTGGTAAGCTACTACATCAATTAAAGCCTTATGTTGTAGAAATAATTAATAAATAAATTTGAATTAATTCAAGGGCAGTTTTGAAAATAAAAAGTTGGACATGAAATGCTATCTGCAGCTTTTATTGTTATCATTATTATTATTATTATTATTACATTTTTTTATCTTTTTTATTTCTTTTTTGTTTTCATTTTATATCTTTTTTCCTTATTTATTTTTCATTTTTTTTTACCTTTTTCACTATTATTGTTTTTTTTAACAGAGGCTGGACTTAACATGGACAATGAACTCACCTTATTTGTCCATCTTCAAAAATTTACCTTCATGTGTTTAATTTGGTCACAAGGAGACCATGCATTACCCATCTTCTATTAGTTAACCATTTTCAATGTGCTTTTAAGTGTACCCTTGATGTCTTTCGTGCTAGCAAATGTGGAATTTCGTATATCTTCAGATGATATTCTATTCACAAGCCAATCCCTGTGACAATTTTCATTTCAAGTTCATTTAAGATTATTAAATAAAAGAAAATGACACTGTCACTGTTCAATATGATGACAGTTTTGTTACTCAAAGTGAAAACATCTAAATGAATGAGTCAGAATAACTCACTTATTTCATGTCTTATTACAATTTCTTGGAATTGCAGGCTGCCTTGGATGGCCATTTTGGCATATGGACTGTTTCTAGCTTGTATACCAACCAGAAAGGTTAGTATCAATGATAATAAATGCATTTGTTGAGAATTTGAAGCCTAATGAAAAGTAAAGCAATCTTCGCAGTAATGAACATTACTTAAAAAGTAGAATTTTTTTTCAGGCCTTTTTTTACAACTGATTAAGTAGTGTTCATTACTGTGAAGATCACTTTCATATTCAATTCTTAACCTGCAGTTCACATATATGATTTTCATATATTCACAGTCATTTACTCATCACTTCATGTGTGTATTATGAACCCACATAATGACCAGCTTCCAGTTGTCTTGTTAGCTCAGTTATTAGAGCATTGCACTGGTATCACAGAGGCCTTGAGTTCAAATCCTGCGTAGGCCTTAATTTTTTTAGGCCATATTTTTGCTACTGCTTAAGTAGTGTTCATCACTGAGAAAATCACTTTTGTATTCATATCTTAACTGCCAGTTCATATATATGATTTTCATATATTCACAGTCATTTAATTTGCAACCTGTTACTTAATTATACTGGTAGCTCTTTGAAAGCATAGTCAAGGTACATGTTGCATAATTAGCTGCATAATTTTTACTTGATGTTTCTCAGAACACATTAATCAAATATAAGTGTAAAATGTAATTGTATAGTGTTTTCACTATCGACTGGATATTGTTAGACAATAAATTGAGTCAATACTGGTGGCTGTTCATGTGTTGATGGTGGGTCATTACAGTAGTGTTAAACTTTACAAGAACTTGAAAATGCACCCTCAATAAAAAGGGTAAAATAGGATGAAATCAAAGCAGACTTCTTCTAGGTAAACCTGAAAAAAAAGTGGGAAAGAAAAGTCCTAAGATTATAAAAATTTTTCAATTTTTTTTTTCCAATTTGTACAATAGACTTCAAAGGGCCATAAAAACAAATTTAATGATGTATTTAAGACCTTTAAGGTAGTTGGATGTAGACGTGGTGATGTGGCCCTTGATCTGAAATATGTCATCTCACAAACTATAAAAGAAAAAAAAAATTGCAATACATTGCAACATAGATAAAAAAGAAAGTTAATTCAAACCCAACAGTGACTACTCAATCTTGCTGATTTTATTATTTTATCTCTGTATAAGGATGATTGTACAGGTCTAATACTTTACAATTAAAGCTTAAGTACTTTAAAATGTCATGTTTATCACTCAAAAACTTATTAAAGGGCTTTTTGTACAAGGTAATCTTCCCTCTTTCCTTGTGAATTTGATGTTGTTTAACATGTAAACTTTTGATGTCTTTGCAGAGTTTTGGTATATCCACCTTAAAACTGTGCGCATTACTAACATAGAGTTCTCACGCGATAGCTCTATGGTTGCTGTGGCAGGTTGGGATGGCTGTTGGCATTTGTACCGGAAAGTAAGTGTTAATGTTGTCATTGGAATAAAGTGTGTGCATACTAATAAAAGAATGTTTGCAGAAAAGGAAACAAAAGCAAAAACAACAAGTAAATATAGCGAGGTAGTAAAAAAAAGTAGATCCTCAAACGTTGAGCATAATTAGCATCAAATATTTAATGTTACTTAATTTTAGGCAGTTCAAGATGGGAAATTGACTTGGATAGAGCTCAAACATAGTGCCAGTGTCGATAGGGTGTCAGGGGATTTGCCTGGTTGTTTTGTGAGCTGGTCCCCAGATGACAAATTTATGAGGTTAGTAAAATTCCACTTATTGTAACAGTAGGCTGACTAACTAAATATTTGATTTTTTTGCCAGCATTTTCATGGTATAAAATTATAATCAACTTGAGGAGGCTTCATAGGGTCTTTTGATTGCATTAGATCTGGGTACAAATGTAGCACGAGCTTTTAACACAGTGTAGTTTTTATGTGAAGGAATCTAAGGTTTCTAGCAACTGCACCTGTAATATTTATAGGCCTTCTACGCCTGAAAAAGAGGTCAACCAATAAGAAAACACCATGGGAAAGATTGCCAAAAGGCAACAGATTGTGACAGATTTGAAAGTTTGTAAAATGCATGCTCAGATATAGATCTTTTCTATTCCAATGTTTTGTGACAAAGAAAATAGGGATCTTGTGAGTAAGATTTATGGCATATCCTCCAATGGAATTTCCTAAGATTTTCTGTACTATTAAACATATTTATGCCCTTCCTACTACCCGTTGATAAAAAAGTCATAAGACCAAACTTGAGATAGACGAAGAACACACAAAATTGCAAATAGTTCAGGAACTGCCTTTATAACCCCTATTTTCTTCAGCTTTTAAATGATTGGCAGGACGAATTTCGCTAATTGTAAACATTTTGAGAGATTTCACTGAAGTAAATTGAAGAAAATCAAAGGCAAAGCCAAATTGTCACTGGCGAGTGCCTGCCTTTGTGGAGCATCAGCTTAATAACAAAAATCATTTTCCTAATATTTACTACTGCAAAAGATAGTCCAAACCTTGCTCATCACCCTTTTGATGGCTTTTAGTGACCTAGAAAAGCAAAAAGATAAAAATTTTCTAGAAAAACGATACACTGGCATGTGTGCCAACGTTAAACAAACACCCTTTGGAGCCTCCTTAAATAAATAATTTATTTTCTACTAAGTAATAGAAAAAACACTGTTTAAGGTGATTCTGATTTTGAGAGATATCATGCTCTCTACACATTATCTCAAGTAATAATTATTCACAAAAGTGTTGGTCAAGAGTGGTGGATATTTTGCACCAAGAGTTTAGTATATACCGCATAGAGACCAAAAAGAATAATTTATTTCTGTTGATATACCAAAAAATTGTAAAAAAAATTAATTACCATGATCATAAAAATTGTTGACCCAGGATTTTGTTTCTTTTGTGGCTTATAGGTGAGTATTACTTTTCTTGCTAATTTCTTTCAAACTAGCCAATCTGCCCTTGCAAAAAGCACTCTTCACCTGTGCAGTATATACTGGTCTTTCATATTATACGTGTATTTCAATATTACTTCACTTCAATAAACATTTATTTCCATTTGTTGTCAGTAGCATATCTGGTACATACAGTTGATCATGATTTTTATTCATAGAATAATTATTGCAGTCAGTGCCTATTTTTTTAGGTTTGCTAAGATTTGCTAAATTTCGTCTTAGATTAATTCAATGCAATGACAAGACATTTATCCTGGCAACATTGGATATTCAGACCTCTGTAACTACGCAACGTTGTCTTGACGGCATTCCTAAAGGAGTAGCAAGTTTCAGGTGGTTTTAAGGGGAAATGATGATGATTTTAATGATTATTCTTGATAACATTGTTATTATTATTATTATTATTATTATCATTATTATTATCATTATCATTATTATTATTATTGTTGACTCTGTTTCTGTCTCTGTCTTTGCCTTTGTCTTTGCTACTATTATTACATTTTTTTCTCCTTCCACACAACTCTTTTTCAATGGACATTACCTATAAATCCAAAATTAAACGTGATTCACTTTTTCTTACTTTTTTGATAGAAAATTATCTGGGGACTACACTCTCTTTTACGTGCGATCCAAGCATTGTTTTGCCGTAAGGTGGCCAGAAACTCAACTTGGTAAGTACCTTTATCCAATAAGGTAAAAAACCTTTCTGAAAATACCTTTTGGTTAACTAATCAAATCTATTATTCTTTTTACTAACATGACGTTATCGACATCGCTGACCCTGGCAGTATACAGGACGCGTGTCACATATGAATTTCATAATACACATCGCTCACCGTAGAGTCTCTGTGGCTCAGTGGTATAGCATCGGAGCGCGAAATCCGAAGGTCTGAGTTCCATCCCTCTTGGTGACTCAGAAAATTTTTTCTTTGTCCCACGCACGTGACAAGACAAAAAACAAAACATCTTTCTCTTTGAAAAAAAACGTGTTCCTTCTTCTGTACTATAACACACAACGCTCTCTCATTTTGAATTAAGTTTTATACACACAGTTTTCTCTAGTGGACATTGGGTTTGAAAATTGGGGAATATCACTCAGGTTATATCCTTTAGCTGGAGGATATTCGGTCATGTGATGCATTTGAAACATCCGCGTTTAAGCAAAATATTTCACGGATTTTAGCAGTTATTAATAAAAACTGGTTCATTATGTAATGCGATTTAAGGGGTTTCATGGCTTAGCCATTATGGTTTATAAGCCATTATACCATACTCCACATATATGAGTATATAAGTGTAGGCGACAAAAAATGTATAGTTTACAAAATAAAGTTGGAAAAATTTATCTATATGTTAGGGCGTTTTTAATAAAACAATAATTCCAATCGCGCTTGTTAGATATGAGCTGATTTTAGTCAATTCGGCCTTGCAGGCCTCGTTCGCTATCGATGATCTTATATCCAACGCAAGCCCGTGGAATAATCGTCTATAATAAGCCACCCATTAATTTTCGCGCGATTCTTTTGCCTACTGTAAGTTACGTGGTGCATAATCGCCGAACAGTTGTCCTCTAAATATTGCTGTCGAAAAGAAACAAAGCCAGCGGAAAAAATCCAGAACAAGAGTTTCGCGTTTTCATCGTTTTAAAGGAAAATTAATTCGTTTTGTAGGGACCAGAGATGGTGACATTTAAAAGCTGGTCTCAAATGTTGCTCCGGAAAGTACAAAAAAGTCAACATAATTTGCTGTCAAAGCAGGATACGAAAATTAATGGGAGGGTTATTAAATAAACAAATCTCCCTCTGGCTTTCTGATATGTTGGCTGATAATGTTCTTGGTGATGAGATTGTCCTAGAATTTCAAATTTGCCCTCGAAGCTTCACTTCTCGGCCAAAAATATAATTCTTGGAAAAATATAATTCTTGGGAAATATATCAGCCGCGGACATTACCAGCCCACACACCTGTTGCCTGAGGGGGTTATCTAATAGGTAGTGGAAAGATGTCAAGAATATGAACATTCCCTTTGAACTAATAAAGCTTAGTCTTAACTTTATTCCAAGAAAAATTAGAAAATTGTCACAGAATTATGACCAGCAGGTCATGGAGTCTCCTCCTCTTATCTCCACAGTGTCTTTAATGAAAAGTGTTTCCGGTAACGAAGAGAAAACAAGACTTTTATTTCAAGAATCTTTTGAGGGCTCTGTGCTCGTAGAACTTTCGTCCAAAGGTTTATTGACTCTGAAGTGGAGGAGGACGTCTCAAGAAAGCTTTTCCTTGCTTAGGGAAAGAGGAAATAGGTGTGAGAACAGTTGTGAAAATTCATTGAAAGGACTTGGCTCAAAATGCTCAGAACTAAGGAACGAAGGGTTCAAAATGGGCGAAGAATCTCTGGAGGAAAACAGAAAAAACGACAGCAGCCGTTTAGAGGATGAAGCTAGATTGACTGAAGTTTCTGCAGAGCTTCATGCCGTCGGGTCTACAGGAAATGCCAGCTGCCTGTTGGGTTATGTGAAAACAACTTCCGAGGACAAAGCCGTTGAAAGTATAAATGCACTGAATACACAAACTTCAGAGGGATCTGATACTTCGTATGGGAACTGTCACTCGGAGACTTACGAAAAACTCCAGTCTCCTTCCAGTTTATCTAGCGAAGTATTGACTTTAGAAGCACCATTTCTCAATCCAGAACTTTTTCAGAAGTCTTGCTCTGGTGGTTTTACGTTTCTATCAAGAAGTGGCGTGCGACTGTTAATCTCAACAAATTATGTGATAGTAGCCGTCTTGCCCCTCTTAGCGTACGTATATGAGTCGCAAATTGAAGAGTGGAAAACGCTGCTATTCCCCTGTCCAGTCAAAAGCTGCTGTATCACTGCAGGTTTGTGTTTGGCCATGTAGTTCCCAATATCTGATACGCACTTCTCCTTTCATACCACCATACATTACCCTACACGTTTGTTGAGAGAATTTGATGTTATATAAAAATGATACCCTCTAAATGATAGGTGTACAGCAGTTTGTGGGACGCTTGTTGTATTTGAACCCAAAAATGGCATAACTCAGGAACGAGCTTGAGTCTTCAAGATCTGTAGAGCATTAGAGCATCCGAGTGCGGAAATCCGAAGGTCTGCCATTCGAATCGTTCTGTGTGGTCTCGAATTTTTTTTTTGTTGTTGTTGCTGTTCATCCCTCGGTCGTGACCAATGGCTCACATTTTTCTTGAAATTTCTATGTTCTCAATGCCTGTTTTGTGATTATTTATTATTAGCATAACTGCTCGGGTGATTGTGGAGATGTGCGCGCTCTAATTAGTCGAGTATTGCGTGATATCTCGCCATATTTTCCTCACGCGAGTTGATTATAGCAGGAGCGCTTAATTTCAAAATGGCTGCCCCGCTTTAGGCAATGTTACCGAGGAAATGATAAACGCGATAGACCAAAATTCAATTCTGAAGAGTACTAAAGGTGCAACACTTTCAAAACTAAACTGTCAATTTTTCGCTGTTAAATTGTAGTGGATACTGACTGCTTGTCTTGATACAAGTAATCAAAACAATTTTAACAAAAGATACGCAAAGTTTTCAACAGCGGCATGGATTACAACAGAATTTGAAAGCACCTGAGCAGCTATGCTAAAACAATTATTCGCCACAGGCTCGGTAAATATTCAAACAATAGCCAATAAACAATAAGCAATGGCTCGAAAATACTTTTGGATATTTGTCCGCGGACATGATCTGTTCCAAGATGCGAACAGTTTTCAAGAGCGAAGCACGAGGAAAACTAAGCCATCCTTCATATATTTTGCAACGCGCGTGAAAAAAATGTGTACGAACAGCTTACTGTTTGCAGCGTGAGATGTTTTCCCACAGTGCTATCTAAATCTTAGAGCTTTTCTTGTACTTTTAATCTTTTCAGATAGATATCTTGTACTTCTCACATCCAGCGGCAAAGTAAGTATTTGGTGTTTGCACACCATGAGAACGATGCACTGCACAGGCGAGGCTCTTTTCGACATGGAACAGAGTAGCTCTCAAAGGTAACTGGAAACTGACTTGAAAGGAATGAGAACGAACCTCCCTGTAAAGGATTTATGCTTCGCTTTTATACCTTACGTACCTGGTCTTTTTCCCCTTTGATCTGTCACATTTCGCCTTAACCCCCAAACTAATTGACAACCATATTAATGTTTCCTTTATCAAAGAAAGCGTGGAGTCAGCTGTGTAACGTTGCTTTGTTGAAGAATGTTAAAAAGCGCACTCGGTTCCGTTTTCATTCCCCTGGTGCGGAAGTAGAGAGGCCCTGGGAACGATTTTGGGAAAGATTGTTGGAGGAGGAGGGTGGCATTTATTTTGTCATTATGTTAACTAAGTCGACAGCAAATATTCAGTGCACGGAGGTTCTCCTTTTCCTAGCAGAGGACAGACTAGGCTGCGAGTGTGGAACGTTTCTTAATTCAATTATGCCAATTCCAAAATACTTTTTGTTACTAATTTACTTCTCTCCCAAGGTGTTTAATGATGTCAGGAAATCCGTTTGAGCTACAGTTTAACGTCGTCAAGTTGGATAAGACTGGCTCTGGAGAAATGATACGAGTCTCCTTTTATCCAGGTAAAGCTGAAATAAGATGTAGCATAGAAGGTTCCAACATGTACATGTTATTTGTTCCTTTGTCTGATAATGATCCTACTTTTTTGCCGTAGCTGGACTACTTAAAGTGGCCCATAATGCTGCAGCTTGTCTAGGTTTTCTTTGTTTAAACTGACAAGGAGTTCTGCTACTCCCCTGTCATAGACTCCTATTCCACTGCAAATCACCCCTAGACAGTTTAACATATTTTCCTGATGGTTCGCTGGTACCCATTTATACTTCCGGGTGCAGAAGGAAACTGTGAGAGTAAAGTATCTTGCTGAACTGAACACAAATCGACCACTCTGTCAGACCTTTCGACCCGAGGTCAAGCGCTAACCTTTTGGCCATTGCCTCATCCGGAGATGGCAAGAGCAAACGCTTAATTGACGTTTATGCCTTGTTTTATTCGAATTTCTTCTCGCCTGAAGTCCTTCATAAAACAGATTGAAGTCTTTAGCATTAAGTTTTCGTTTGCCTTATGCTTCCTTGTTTGATTGTTATGATTTCAGACCAAGGCAACTTCAAGGTTACTATGAAACGCTTAGCGCTATGTTATCCTGATCTGCTGGGTCAGAGTAGTAAAAGTCAATTATGTGGCTCAATTGGTAGCCTGATTATCTTCAAAGATAGCCAATTTGCGGACGGTGGTGACTTTCCAGAGGCAGATCGTGAACGCGAGGATTCCTGGTCAGTCAAGTGGGTCGTATTAGTTCCAGGTACTGTTGCAGATTTTCTGAGAACCAAATAAGTTAAGCGCCAGTTATATCGTAGGACAATTGTCGAGGCTAGGCGATTGTTACAAAAGGAACAGCAAACTACGAAGTGAAGGTAGTGTGAGACAAATATGAATACAGTTTGTTTTATGATCCTCTATCGATTTCTTGGATCCTTCTTGAACGTTATGCGGTGCCTCTGAGGGCAAGCAAAAAACCTTGGATAAGTACATCACGAAATTTCTTAACTGATGCGAGCTATTTCAATCCGTAGTTAAACCCAAAACATGTTTAACCTCAAACACCCGGAATGTTTTCATTTTCTGAATAGTCGAAAGATGTTCATCGCACCAGGGCTTTTGTTATTCTAATCTTCTCAAATTACCCGGCATGCGCCTTACGGGTTATGTCCTCTACTATTGCATTTCAAATCTTTTTTTTCTTGATTTTCGTGTGTGGTAAGATTTGTTCGTCGATGGGTTACCGAACGATGTTTAATCGCATTTTTCCATTATTTCTAGAACTATCCATCAGCCGAACATTTCTGGAGGAGCCAAAATGTACTTTAGAGCAATTTACTACTTTACGACGTAACTCTCTACATCAACTGGATGAACTCACACGGACATCTAAGTAAGTCGCCTTAAAGTCGACCTCGCATTTAGTATGGACACCAATAAGAAGTTTACTCTCTTTTCCTTTTTCTCTCCTTTGTGCAAAAAAAGGCAAATGCGTCGTAAAACATATTTTCTAAATTGTACTATACACATCTACGAAAGCTGTACATCTTATGCATAATTAACTAATCCGAGTCTGTGATCCTCAATTAAATCGTAGAACTAAATTAATAATTATTTTTATTTATTTATTTGTTTGTTGTTGCTGTTGATGCTATGATTCTCCACACGCACTAGAGGAGAATGAGACAAATTTATTGATAGATTTAATTAATTAATCAATAGATTTATTGAAAATACAAAGTTCAAGTGGTCTTGGTGAATTTAATTGTCTTGTAATAGACATTTCATGTTTTTCGATTGAAAGGGATTACTTGGAGACCAGTGTTGACGAAAAGTTTTAGTTCATTTGTGTAAGGTAACAAATGCCCTTTGTCATAGCAAGAGGAGGTCTCGGACATACAAAAAAAAAATTATTGCTTCAATTGCATTAATGGTAGAAGTTTTATTAATGCCTTTTTATTTAATCAGCGATCCATCCATCCATTTAACCATCTTTCCATCCTCTTCGATTACTTTTCTCATCTTTTCTTTTTTTTATCACGACTTTGACTAATTTTATCAGAGCGCGAAGCGCAGGCACTGAAATAATAGAATTTCACGAGCAAACCGAAATAAGATGTATTTTAACCGACCGATTAGTTTTCGCGCGATTCTATCGGCTACTTTACGTCTCGTGGTCCAAAATCACCGGACAGTTATCACGCAATGACCTTCATCTACGTCGATATTTGTCCTCCGATTATTTTCATCCAAAAGAAAAAAGCAGGCGGAAAAAGACAGATCAAGAGTTTCCCCTCTTCATCTTTATTACTTTACATGGAATAAAAACGAACTCGTTTCGTAAGAGTCCACTGATAGTGAAATTAAAAAGCTGATCTCAAATGCTGCTCCAGAAAGTACAACAAAGTCAACAGAATTTGCTGTTAAAGCGCGATACGAAAATTAATGTGACGGTTACAAAATAAACAAAACTAGCTTGCTTGTATGTCGGCTGATGATGTCTTTGGCTTTGAGATTGTCCTCAAAATTTCACATTTGCCCTCGTAGCTTCGCCTCACGGTCAGATATTAATTTCTCTAGTGCAGACATTATCATATCAGGGTTTATTTCAGTGAATAGCATATTTTCCGTAGATCAAGACAAATAAGACATAGTAGAAGTAAAACGAAGTTTTATTGTTGCTTGGTCACAGGTAACGTACGTAAGAATTCACTTCAGCAAAATAAAAAGAAAAAAAAACCGACAGCAATGCCAGTGGTCAGAAGTTTATGGTTGAGATTACTGGTAGATTTAGCGAAAATACATACTACAAGTGGTCTTAAAGAATCTTATCGTCTTGTAATAGACAATATTTTCTTGCGAGACATTTTTTTCCTTTAATTTTTCAATCAACCAGTGATTGATAAACATTGATTTGGAAACAAGTATTAATTTGTAGTTTATATGTTCCCTTGTACCCTTTGTCATGAAAATGATTGCTTAAAGGTCGAAGTGTTATTGATTCATCTATATATCTAGTCATTCATCCATCGATTTGTTCCTCTACCCCTCCTTCCCAATTACCTTTTTAGCTGACTTTGTCGGAAAAACGTGAACTTTGTTTAGAAAGTTTTCGTGACTTTTAGTGAGTCTTCATTTCCATGCAGCCAAATCAACAATGTTCCTATATTCTTTTTTTCTCTACCTCTCGCTCCTAACCCCCCTTCCGTGGAGAAGTAGAGAGACCTGGGATCGAGCCAGCATTAAAGTTACTTCACATCATTAAATCAACGAATTACGGAGTTACTAGAGAATACATTATTATATACTTAAATTACATGTCACAATTTTTATTTGCCCGTCACATGATCATTATATTTCTACATGATTTAATTTCCGATTGGACAGATCCAGTAGTGAATAACACACTGCATGCTATTAGCACCCAGGAACAGTTGTGATTTTCCTTTACAATGACAATTGTACGCAATGGTTCCTGTTCTGGGGTCAATTTTTGGATCACCAAAGACGTACTCTGCAGCATTGTGTGTTGAGCAAGTAGCTGCAACAATCTTCATCCCCTAAGACCAAAAAACAGAAAATAAGTACGTTTGTCTTGAACAGAGAAATAATAGTTTGAGTTGCACTGAAAATTAATTGATTTAGGTTCAAGACTCGGTTCGAAACTCAAATCGAGGATTTCAGTAGGTGTACTCGTTTAAATTCAAGCATCAGCTTTACAAGTCTCAAAATTTACTTTGATTACCCACAGTAGCTTTTTTTATTTTAAAACTGGCATCCGTTAGAAAATTGTTGACATCGCTTCGTACGTGGATATTAAGACAATTAGTCTCTCGGCTAACTTAAGCAGAAGGTGACGTGAGCCTACCGGGTGTTCATCCTCTCGTAGAATGACTTTTGAATTTGCTGACGCCCCTGCTGTTTGTGCAACTTCCTTCTTGTTCTTGTACTGACAAAGGCTCACATTCCAAGCCGTGTTCTTTCCAGCTGGTCCTTGGGGGCCTGGTAATCCTCGTGATGCATTATATCCGCGCGGCCCCATTGCTCCTGGAATACCGCGAGGCCCTGGTGAGCCCTGAGAACCGTTTAAACCTCGAGGACCCGCTGGTCCAGCTGTACCATTGGGACCCATAGGGCCAACGGGTCCGCGGGCGCCTGGAAAGCCTGGCGGTCCTATTTGGCCGCGTGGGCCTGGAGGGCCTGGTGGACCAGTGCAGCGGCTGCAGCTTTGTTCCTGGAGAAAGAAGAAGAGGAAAATTTCTCATGTTTCATTGATTTCCATGCCAGGCATTGGACAGAGGATTATGTTCACCTGTACTGTTAGGTTCTCCAACGCTTTCTTTTGTGTCTGTAGTTCGATCTTGAGTTTTTGAACTTGAAAGCGGGTGAGATTTAAGGCTTCTTCCAGCTTTAAAATCTTCAATTTCATTTCTTGATTATCGTCCCTTCCACTTCCAACAGCCTCTGAAAAGAATAGAAAAACCACAACTTTTTCTTGCACTTTGTCCCTAATGTAGGAGTAGGCTGGCGAAAGACTTTTTTAACAGAGTGAAAAAAATGATGTGAAAGAGCGGGATGAAAGACAATTTCAGAGACTTCTTGCTTAGGTCAGTCTTTCTCCATTACTATTACAAAGCCAAACAGTGCATGAGATATGAGCCACAAATGGGTGTGTCGGGCTGAATCATTCCCCATTTTTTAGACACAAAAAAATAAAATTCATTTTTGCTTTACTCGATTGAAACCAAGAGAGACATGTAAGATTCAGTCTTTGCCGACCTCTGGCGAAGTATGCGAAGAATGATTGATTTTGGTTGGTTTCCTTTCAGCTCGTAGCGAAAAGTCGTCTCTCTTGGTCTTAAAAACTTATCAACGTCAAGACAGTAGCTCTGAGCAACTTTATGTTGCGAACAAAAGCAGTCTTTTTCGAAATTATGTTTACTGCTAAGCTTTACACTTTTGATATAACCTTGAATAAACCTTTCACCCGTTTAGGATTTATCTTCCAAATTAAGTTGAAAGGCGACTCTCCAGATGTCGAATTAAACCTTGCATCTTTTGACAGAAGTGCTTCTATAACATTCTTATTATTTTATATGTGTCACATTAACTGTGTAAATGTTTGAAGGCGTATCATAAATTGTCCATGTTGCTCTTGGTCGTCCCTTTACTCAGTTGGGAGTCTCGTTTAAAATTGTACTCTATATGCATTCTAACATGATTTGCCTTCCATTTGATAAAAGAACTTTGTATACCTTACAGCATTCCCCTTTACAAACTGTTTTATCGCTGAGTAGACGGTTGTTCGAGAGCTTTGTGAACTAAAGAACTGGACCGGCTTTGCAATTTTAACCTAATTTCCTATTCTTTGGCGTCTTTCCGATAGAGGTTTAGTCACTCCTGTCGATATCTAAACTTCTTATCCTGGCGATTTCCTTTCACCTCTGAGCGCCTGCTGTTTTCTCAAAGTTGTCAATTCCCTTCCATGGGGATTTCCTGACAGCACTCTTAAATTTTCCCTCTTACAAATGCAAATGCGGAAATGCTTAACAATTGTCGCTTTTTTGTGAGGAGTATTCCATTGGCGTTATTTAGAGAAAATAATTGCAAATAGTCTAATTATAGCTCTCATTCCTAGGCAACGGTTCAGATTTAGATTACGTAGTACGTTTTCAGCAGGCAAATCTGATATGGTACGTGTACCCGCTTAATAGATACTTCAAACAAGATTTGACGAATAGACGATAAGAATAGCTGGATTAAAAGGCTGCAAAAAGCATGCATTTATGCTGCAAAAAGCATGGAAAGACAATTGATCATTAAATCCCTCTTTGACTTGTTAAAAGAAGGAGGGAACTGCGAAAAGATTCGAGGTTGGGCACATGTTAACTTTTCCGTCCTAGTCCTACAGGGTGAGCGCTGCTTTCGAGGTTGCCTGTAAATACGGTTAGGAGAATTACGAGACCGCTAATCTCATCGACTCTGTTCTGAACGATATTGTGCGTTTTGTGGAATAATCCTTTTCAGTTGGGGAGCAACTGGCTTTTCTTGATCATCTGTGTAATGTAACACGGTAGTTCTGAGACGTTTAAATGGGATTTAGTGTTGACAAAATTTAAATCAAGAAGTGGCAAATGATGATAATGAGTAAATCAAGTTTCAACTAATCGATTACTCAGGGTTATCCCGGTGAACTAGTCTCGTAGTCATTCTAAAGGAAACCTACGAACATACAATGCCCGTAAATGTCTGGCACAAAGCATTCAAAGTGGAAAGTGCCATAATAGCCTGGTGCTGGAAAGAACACTTATGGTTAGAGGTCGCCCGCAAATTTGGAAGAAGATCCTTTTTCGAGTGTAGACAAAATAGTATTTCCTGTTTCCTGTTCCCTGCCTTTTTTTTTAGCTCTTTCCGGTTTTTTTTTTTTTATGTAAGCATATAATTTGAAAGAGCGTGAAAAGAATGTAGAAATGTGCTCATTGAGTACAGAAATTCGCCCGACTACAACTTCGAATGATAAACTGCAAAGCTGGTGATTGAAATTCAGTGAATCATGCCTTCGTGTCTCGCATGATGATTTTTTTCGCAATACCTTACATGTACACCTGACCTTTCAATCCAATGATCCAAACTGCTGAAAGCTTTTACATATTTCGGTCTTGTTCTAGAAAACTCTAATTCGATCAATTTTACTCCTACGCACATGGAAGGAAGCTAAATTTCGTATGGCTGAACAAAATTAATGCCATTGAACAGTTTGCCATGTTCAGAGGCCATAGATCGCACTTACTTGGTGGTAAAGTAGGCGTTTGATTCCAACTTAAGGTGTTCCCTGAAATAAGCATCATCAAAGTCAAAGTCAGGCCAGCTGCAGCTATGAGAAAAATAATCATCAGTAGTGCAGTCGTGAAACACATCGTGCGGCGGCATGAATTCATTTGTTGTCCTGTTGTTTCAGCGATGATGTTCAGTGCGTCGTAGATTGCATCTCGGTGGTCCACGCAGGACTTTGTCTTTATGTCAACCGTGGGTCCCTCAGCGTTATTCGCAATGACTTTATAGACTGCCCCAGTACGATTCAGGTCTGAATGAGGAAACTCGTTTGTTTCCTCAATTTCGGTTTCTCCTTCTTCAGGCTTTAGAGACTTAAGTTTCGTTTCGTTGACCTGTCCAGTTGTTCTGTTTTCATTTTTGGAGGTGGATCGATTTCCCCGGAAGTTAATCATTTCGTACCTTGGCTGTTCTTGTACTCCTTTTGGGTGCTGCATTTTGTGCCAGTGAATCAAAAAGTACCTTTGATCGGTGTATTGTTGTTCTCCCTTGTATAGAAGAGAAGCGATATCGTACCCAATGAGGTACCTTGAAACTCACGCTCAAAACTGATTTCCTCGGGCAAACTGAGGATACAGATGTTAACTCAAAGGGGTTAAGAAAATCAGGATGTATATGCTGTTATGTAAGCAGATAATATTATGCACACAATTTTGGTTTCCAATATGTTGACGATGGTAACGAAATTACTGTTGCAGTAGTTATAATTGTTATTGCTGTTTGTTGTCGTCGTGGAATGTCCTCGTCGATATGAATGGACTCGTTCAACACGTAGGAAAAAATGCGGAATCGGATAGCGATCAGGCAATTAAGAGAGCTATGATGGCGTGATAAGTAAAGTAATTAATATATTTGTGTGATAAGATTGTCGTGATCCAAATGTGATCACGTGTGTGCCTCATGTAACCTTCTTACCGAGACACGTGTAAAAAAAAACCCTCTACGGATCACGCGGTGTGGTCTGTATACCATGCTTGGAAGAAGGCAGGAGGATAGGAAAAGGTGATGAAACAAGTTTTTCCTATATCCATTCTTTTTCAACCCGCTCTTCTCTTTTCTCAATTTCATTTTTTATTGCTCTGCCTCGTTCACTTCAGATTCTCCACTTACATTCCCTCATTCCAGTTTTTCGAAGCTCTTTTCTCCATCGTCATGGAGAAACTAAATTTCGGAAACTATGTCGTGCACATTGCGCCAAATATCATTTCTATTGTTGAGAATTAAAGGCTTCTGCTATCTTTTCGAAACCATTGCAATAATCTTCCGTTAGCGTGCGTATTTTTTTTCCAAATTTACCCCTATTGTCTTTGAAAGCCCATTGGTCTTCCTAATGGACATTCGAGAAGAAGTTTCAAGATCTATTCCTGTTTGTGATTATGTCAGTTTGTTGTCATGTACACTGACTGATAGTGACAATAAATGATACTTGGTCTTAATGAGGTAAATCCCAAAACTGGGTTCATGAGATGGAGTATGGTGTGTGAGACTTAAGCGAGCATGTTAGCCTCTTCAAGGCCTTCAATTAGAGAGAAAATTTGCATTGTCTCAGGGGTGACTAGCAGATAGTAAAAGGGAATGCCATTGGAACCTTTGTGGTCGGAAGCAAGAACCTTTTTTTTGTAACATTTTTTCTCTGAGGTCAAAATTAAGTCGCCATTATCAAGTTTCTAAACATTAACTATAATACCTTTTGAACTATAACAGGCGGCAAGCAATATTTAAAAAAAAAACAGCTCTGAGTGCCGACAGGAAACAGTGGGTTTCCGTTACAACATTAGCAACCGTGAGGTGTGCTCGTGTGCGAAATTTCTTCTCTCTGTTTTCGTATATTTGTTTTCATTTTGTTGAGAAAGCATTTTGAAGACTTCAGCTAGTTTGCATGTAACGAGGCTTTTGGAGTGTTTGGCACCAGTGCGCAATACTTTTGGTTTTGTAAAGCATAGATAAGAATCTTGTGGAAGTAAAACAACCGTGGTGGACTGTGGTGGTCTCCAACCCACCCACGCGGTGCATGACTTGGCGTGTAAATATAACGCTGTTTTCCTTGCATATGAATGTTTGCTTTCCAATTCCGTTTCAATTTTTGAGAATTTGTCGTCATTGCTTTAAAACATTTTTTCCCAGGCTAACGCTTTGCCTCTCTTTTCTGTCGCCTTTTCAGGCTGATTTTGTAAACAGTTTCAAAGGCAACAGATAACTAATTTCACTAAATATAAAAAAGACCGCCAAAGTTGGCCAAGCTGTAGCGAGGGAAGGTAGTATATCATTATAATATATCGGATTTTATTTTACAATTAATTCATTATATTTTATGGGTATGTATTTGTTAATTTAAATCTCCTTCACCCTTTTTTTTCCATTTTTCTTTTTCAGTTCCTTTTTTAGTGTTGGAGTGTCAAGAATTCCCGCTTTGGTGAACACGCCCCCATTCCTTTATGTAAGATGAAATGATTTTGGTTCATTGAAGTTTACACCAACTTGTCAAGAATCTTAAATTAATACTAGCAAAAATGTTGATTTTTGAGGAGACTCGAAAATGCTTTCTTGTTTTTTTTCGATGTACCGCTATTTCTGCAAAGAAATGAACTGCTAATCGTTTCGAATCGTCTCATATCCCACTCACACCAAAGCTTGAACATGTTTCAAAGCTTCCTTTTAGAATTCGGTTGAAAATTATTTTTCTTCATAAAAGCTGCTTAAACCGATGTTTTTCAACTTGCGATGACGCACATTGAAAATAGTATTACATGTTGGTGACTACTTAATTGACACCAAAGGAAAATTTAGTTTTTAAGTTCTCTATTTCTGATTTCATTTAGTGAAACCCGGTTTAACTACTAAATCATGTGTTGCTGATGTGATTTAGGAAATGGTTTATTGCCCTCAACGCAAGCAACAATTGCTCCTTGAAATAAATAAAGTATGTGCTATTTACCTGTCACAGTAACCCAACTTACTCGACTGTGCAAGGGGGCAATATTGTTTGTGCCTTTCAATCTTTGATTTTAAAAATGACAACAGAGTATTTTCATTATCTTTTTTTTTTTTTAATATTATTAACATCGACATGAATGTGATAATCTCCTTTCGGATCTTTTACACATTTACACACGCTTTACCGATGCCTACAGTGGCGGTGCAAGTTCCAAAGCAACAGAGACAGACTGATATGAATCCGTAAAGAATGTAAGCAGAATTCGTGACCCAGAATGCAAATAGATAAAGTGTCTTATGGCAGTAGTCCAGACTCGAAGGGTCCGTGTAATTCGGCTCATAGTTCGCGTAAATCCATACATTCCCACAAATGAACCAAGCGAAAACAACAAATTGCACAAGAGCCTGCAGCAGATTTACAGTATTTCCATCATCCTCTTGCTGGTTGTATCTCACACCGCCGGTACAACAATTGGCGAATAAGCCGGCAGCCCCTGCTACTATGAGGTAAACAGGGATCATTTCTTCCACTGGGCACTCGTCTTTGTATTTTGCTCCTAAAAATATGAAATGTAAAAACCGATTAGGAGAGGCAAAAGAGAAAGAACGTTTTAATTGTTGTTTGGTATCACCCTGACATTGTACTTTTCATTTAGCTAGTCTTTGTTACCTCGTTAGAATAGTTTTCAACTATGCAAAAGCAACCGCATCAGAAAAACAAAGACAAAACCAAAAGCTATTCTTGGCTCATCGTTATCATGCCCGTCTGTCACGTCAAACTGTCACACATACGAAGATTCTTTGAAAACGTGAGTCTTTGCCCTTAAACGAAGCACTGCGAAGTATTTGAGGTTTTGTTACTAACAAATGGATACGGAGAGTCCTTGTAAAGAGAGTCATAGGAGTTTGATATTACGGAAATCTAATGAGCGGTTATTCTAAAATTTAACAAAACAAAATTATCGTAAAATCATTGTGACCTTACCAATAACTATCATTGCTATCTGGAGAGGTATGGATGCCAAAGACACAAAAACCATAGCAGTCGCAACTAGAAGAATCAAAATATACTATCATTTGAGGGGTTCAACCCATAGTTTACGCGTAAAGAGTAGGCCTTGTTCAAATATCAGTCGAGCTTTAATTTTTTTTATGGTTCCTGTCTTTATTGTAAAGCTATTCCTACGGGTTCTCCGAACTACTGGTTCTCGAAAGCTTTGGCGGCCATAAAAGACTTTCATGCTTCGTGAAAGTTAGATGTTCAAGAGATTTATTCGAAATGAGTTAGTGGTCGAGGCAGGGTGACTCTTGACTCCACATAACCCCAATACTAGCGTCCAACAAAGCCTCAGTTTGAAAGGATTAGGCGATTTTTTTTTTTAAAGAAATGCATCCACAATTTAGTATTGGATTATACGAAAATCTTGCCACAATCGCCAACTTTCGCTATATTTTAAGTCGCTTGCATGGCAGCTCGGCTTCATAAAATTTCGCCCAGTTTGATATCAATAGTATGGTGATCGATCAAACTTGTGAAATGAACGATGTCGAAATAAATGCTGTAAGATATGAAAAGTTAGTAAGAGTCATAATACGCGTTAAGTCGTAAAACTTACAAGAGACGAGAAAAACCCAGAAACCTGCCATAATAGCCTCCATGTTTAAAATGCTGTGATCTTCTCTTCTTCTCGTTTCACAAATAATTCGGTTATCCTCTGTCCTGTGTAGAAAGAAGGTTCAAGTTGTACAGGACTGTTAAATAAGTTTGATATTTTCACCACCGTAGACAATTTAAGTGACCATCTTCATTGTTTAACTGTTCCAATACTCGTGCATTTCAGATGTGTACTATGTAGATATAAATCCTGTCCAGAAGAATGACGTAATGAAACCGAAATTATTTCGATTCATTATGGCAATCTCAGCGATTTTTAAAATTACTCGTCGGGGCTATTTTTAGGAGAGATGGAAATAAAACATTATACTTTTGACGATAGTATTCTTTCCTGATTTTTTTTTCACGGCCAATCCGCTTCATAACGACAAATTTTTGTCCATTGAGAGTGTTCTGACCCTTTTTTCTTTAATAGAAAACGAAATAATTTATAACATTTTGTTTTCCAGTGCGCCCTATAAATAGTTGTTGACATGTTAAGACATCCGGTTTACATGTAAATCATTGTTGTAACGAATTTGTAACGTGACGATGTTCATTTCTAATCGTAGTTCAAATCGCTGCTAGCCATGGTTTGTATTTAGGTAAGATGCAGTATTACGAAAATTAACCCTCTCGAGACAAGGTGTGTTGATTCAAGATGGCCGCATTTTAGTAAACAAGAAAACAGCATATGAACGGGTGAATAAATAAGGAGAAAAAAAATATAATCGTGAAAAGAGAGAACTTAGCCTATATCCAGTCCTATCGACCTTCAACGTATATTTTTAATTCGCACATATTAACAAATCAAAACCGAAATGAAACTGTGGACTCTTGAAAATATACTAACAAGAGATGCAAAGTCGAAAACTTTAAAGAATTTTAAGACTTAAAGTCATCGGCCTTCGCCTGTTAGGGAGCTTAATAATAGGGACCTTTAGCAGTTAGGAAGGCGACGCCCTGGAAGACGTTGACTTAAAAATGAATACATATTTTCAGTTGGAATTTCGCGAATGACTGGATGTGCGTACCATCTCTTACGGCGTCGCAAGTCCTCAGCATAACGTATGAGAGCGGCGTCGAGTTCCAAATGGAAACTTAAATAATGTGCCGTCGCCGGGGTTTCCTTTCTTGTACCACGCAAATTTTGATGATTTCTCTAAGTTATTTTGCAGAGAACGGGAAAGAAATGTATACAGTTTTGAAAGGCACGTGCTTAGCTATCGTTCTGCTCATAAGATCTTTTGTTCTGCCACTCCTCATTTCTGTCACCGTTGTGGTTTGCTAAAGGTCCCTAATCAAACCAGGACGGTAACTGCAACGAGAAAATGGTGAAATAAGAGTTCTAATGAGCAGAAAAATTTCTCTGTACGTGGGTTTTAAAACTTTGCTCATTTTCCGGTTTTCCTCTGCAAGAAAGCAACTTGAAATAATAAAATTTTGTGTTGTCCGAGAGGTTGGACCCCATTAGTAAATTCTATACGTTTCTTCCTGGAACTCAATAAATGCCTTTACAGTTCTACTGAAGTGGAGGCGATAAGATATCGAGTCACTTGCAAATTCCTAGTTAGAATAGAACTTAAGTTTCTTTCGCTGTCATGATATGACTGCGTGAGGTCTTTTTGACTGACCCACCCTCCCCTCTCCCAGGCCCTTCTCTTTCCGTGCGCTCTCGCCTGGAACGAGGAAAATTTGATTTAGCATCTTAGCAGGAAATTTATAACAAAAGCGAGTAGAACCGACTTCTTACGAAAACACTCAAAAACTGCGTGAATCCTTAAATGATTACTTGAATAATATATTTGATTACCTACTCATGAAAACACAGCAAATATGCCAAATTTATTTCAGCATGTTCAGAAAAGAACTTATCCTTAATCCACATGACAGCACTGACACCAATTAATCAGTTATTTGGCGACCTCAAAGACGGATGGAAGCAAAGAGAAGAAATTGTTGAATTTCTAACATCGAAAGCGTTGCAGTTTATTAGCTTAATTTTACCACCGGTGTTGTGATTTATAAAAGTTTTCACTTTGATTTTCTACATGTTTATTGCACTTATGTGGGAAATACTCCACCATTTGAGAATTGTCATTCATCAGTGTTGGCTTTCTTCATCTCCGACCTCTACTTTACAACCAGACTGTATGCGTTCGCAGAACAGAGAACAGTACATCGGAGCTCTATCGGTCATTTTAACCCCCTCCCCCCCCCCCCAAAAAAAAAATAAGAAAAGAAATACGTTATTGAGAGAAAAACTGGTTTGCTGTAGGTTATGACACTTCATATGCATCACTACGAAATCGCTTGCACTTCATCACACGTAGGAGAAATGTAAACTATGCATGAAGTTTACGTAAGTTTTTAATATTATATTGATTTGATGGCTCAGTTGTGGGAAGTGTTTTGAATCCCTTTCAAGCCTGAAAATATGCACAAAGGCATATTAATTGATTTATTTTTGATATTATTTCTATTTTTCTAGGTATCATAGGAAATCTTTGAATAGGAGCCCATTAATACGGCTCCTGCTTTGAATAAGTCCTCAAATGAGGCAACGATTCTGGCAGATGGACTGCAATTTTAGCAGTTGCAGGAAAGTAGCCTGAAAAAATTCAGGATTCGAATCCGTGCCTCCTAGAGAAAATTTTAGAGGGCTCTTCTTTCTCGTTGAGGAATCTAATACGTTTCTTGAAATTAAAGACTTCTTGCTGTGGCGCTAAAAGCGGATTAAGGATACGGAAATTGTGCTTCAGGTACGCATGGATGGATTAATGAATTGTCCCTGTGACCGAGTCCAATATCAATATCAATGACATAAACGGAACGAGCAGTGATTTTACGAGAGATTAGCGTTACCCTGGCGTTATTATCTTGAAACTGTTTCGTGTACCGTTTACACAGTGCACTCTTAAGATACGTCTCTCAGTGGAAAAATAAAATAAAATAAAACGTATATCGTAATTCAGACATGCATGCCATGATGGCAGCACTTGTTCTTGTAACTGATGGTCCAATATATCTAAACGTCAGGTCGTTTGCTTGTAATTTCCTGAGTTCATTTTAAAGCGATATCTAAATATTCCACTCTCACACGGTTTAATTGTTTTTTGCACTTATAGCGGAAGTATGATAATAGAACTTGAAATTCAAAAAAGCACGGACATAGAAATGGCAGCACTTGCTCATGTAATTACAAGGTTAATGGGGGTATGTTTCTAAAATAACTGTGGTGCTGCGTCGGTGGGAGAATATAACACAAGGCAATTTGCCAGTATCAATTGAATTGATGACGTAAATTGGTCACCGTAAACAGTTTCAAAGCTGAAGTCTCGATCGTTAGCCCTTCGTTTGACACTGTGCTGAAGGGCTTACACTCGAAACGTCAGCTAAAACTATTAACGGCGGCCAGTTTACGTCATCAATTCAACTGATAATACCAAATTACATTGTGATATATTCTCCCACCGACGCAGCACCACAGTTTCCTTAGGTACTTACTCCGTTTGATCTTCAAATTGCACGAGCAAGTGTTGCCATTTCTATGTCCGTACAACATTGACATTTATCAAAAACATTTATGTTATGAAGAGTTTATTTTCCATCAATATATCTTGAAGTTATTTATTTTAAGACTTCATTTGGCTAATTACATGTACAGTTGGCGTTTGTGCGCAATCAGTTGAGTACATCTCTGAAAGATAATCATTCACGTAGTCAACCAGTGATAGAAGATTACATTCTTCCACAGGCGGCCCAAGCTCCAGCTTATCAGTGACACACTCGGCTGCGCCTCGTGTGCCACTTTTTTGTTCTTAACACATTTTGACGTCATCTGTGATCTATTACTGAACAGACGCACGGCAACTTGGAATCTATTTGTTAATTTGACGTATTGTTTTATTCCTTAGAGCGGTCGTAAATATTCTCATACAAACTCTAATAATTCCGCCATGATTGTTATTGTGCGAGATGATCATCTCACAGCTGGAGCTTGGGCTGCCTATGATTCTTCTTACCTAAAATCTTGCAACCTGAAGAGATAAAGCAGGTAACTATACGTTTCATACTGCACACTTCCAGCGATGACGTTGCAAGAAGTGATAAACATGGCGAAATTACAAGTAAAGAAGGACTTGAATTAATGACGGTCAAGGTTGCGGTATGCTTCCCATATACCGATAGGTTTAAACCGGCGTTCAAGAATTGAACAACTTCCGATGGGAACTGGATAAAATATTTTGATGAGAAATATTTTCAGGAAAAGGATGGAAACGACAGAAGGCAGGAAAAATTCCGGAGGCTTCTGAGTTTGAATGCTGCTGCCAGAGTCATGATTCAAGTTAATACATTGTATCAAAAGAACTAAAGATTTATGTAATTAGAGTGTTTTATTCCTTTTTTTTCTTTCCACATGATAGCAATTCTCGAAAATCATTCAATTTTGTGCGGATTATGGATACGTATTTTTTAGTAAAGTAACTATTTAATTAAAGCTTTCATTACTTGAGAATCAAATCTGTCACACAGGGCGGGCGCAAACAAAAGAAACTGAACTGAAATTTGGTGAGTTTCCTCTACTGGTCTCCACTGACCAACTCAAAATAGCCTATGGCTTCTCTTTTGGGATTACCCTGGTGCAAATCCATGCACTACTGGTGATAACTCCTTCAGCCTCATTCAACTAGCGTTAAATCACGTCATATTTTATCCTAAACGTACTGCAAATACATAGGTCAAGAATGATTCCATTCAGATCCCCATTTGCGGTTGGCCTTAAGCGCTCATGAATTAGCTCTTTGGCAAAAATATTCGAGGCATATCATAGTCTTTTCGAGAATATTTGTAAATATAGCATATGTAAAAAACACAAAGCATGCAACAACCACAGATCATGACGATAAAAGAAATGAAATAATGGGAAAAAGTGGACCAAAATGCAAACAGGTAAAGTGTCTTATGACAATACTTGGGACTATTAGGGTCAGTATAATTCGGCTGATAATTCTTATAAATCCAGAAGCTTCCACAGGCGAACCAGGCAAGGAGAAGTAATTGTATAACGGTATGTAACCGTTTCAGAGAACACAATGGGCCTACTTCTTCACTTTCTTCATCACGTTGTTTTCGGAACGACATTCCAAAGGAATACAAGCTGCCCAAAATACCAGCAGCTCCAGCCGCGATCAGATAGATCGGGATCATTATTTCAACGGGGCACTGGTCTTTGTATTTAGCACCTGCAAACATAAAATGATTTGGATGAATAGGAAGAATCCTGTCAGCCATATCATTTTATATGCCCTCGCGGCTGAGGCGGGCTGGAATGTAGGAACAGTAGGTGGGGTATAGCGTTCCAGCCCCTTTCCTTTTCATAAATCATGTTTGAGAGAAAAGGTAACACTTTGGTGTACCGTCGATCAAAAACTTGATACACCTCTCCGGTGCTAATCTAAGTGATAAGATTAATAAGTGCGAAGGCCCTTTTAAAGACCTAAATGACAGAGCGACAGGTCTAATACTTATTGACAGATAAGCTGGAGAAGGGGAGTGCAACTTGTTACGTCAGGCAAACTTACCAATAATGATCATTCCTATGTGAAGAGGTAATGTCGCAAAACCCACAATCATCGTGCAAGATACAACTATATGTTCAAAAAACAAGTAACGAGACGTATGAAGTGAGACAAAAAGATGATATTTCTGTGTCCAACTGATTAATCATGTGCCGCTGCATCAAGATCAAAAATAGCATTGAGATCAAGAAATGTTTAAAACTTTTGTTTCAATCGTTTACTAAAGCTAATAAAGTAGATCCATAAGGCATGTTTACGATCGGAATGTCCTGACGGACAAAAGTATTACTTTTTATATCTACGAGGAAGGTCTGAACTGAAAAATCATCAAGGAGGGAAATGTGTCTTATTTAACTACAATCAAGATTAGGTGGTTTGGTTTGTTTGTTTGTTTGTTTTTTTTTTGGCTGTTTTTGTTTGGGTTTTTGTTTTGTTTTGCTTTGTTCCTTTGTTCGCTTGTATTGTTTTGATTTTTTTTGTTTGCTTTCTTTTCGTGTTGTTTCCGTTTTGATTTTTGATCTTGTCTTTTGTTTTTGTTGTTTTACGAGTCTTTTTTTTTTCTTTTTCTTTTTTTTTTTTCGTCTGCCGGAAAGAAAATAACTCTATGTTCAGAGAATCCTTGCTTGTATTAAAAACTCACTGTATTAAAACTTACACGCTCCTTCCATGTTTTGCCCTCTGTTTGATCCTTTTACGATAAATTCTTGAATTTGAGGAACTACCTGTCACCATAAAACATAGAATGACTCACTTTAATCTCTCTTTTATGGGATTTTTCTCCCATTTCTCAAATACAATACTGGATCTTATTGATCTGAGAACATTCTAGTGAGAAGATTTGGTCTTGTACAGATCTTTCCGGGTGCAAGAACGACGATTCAAACATAATGTTGCAGGTTTAAATATGATTAGAGTAAAGACACAGAATGCGCTGACGCTAGTGATAAGGTATCGGTCATCATTATTCATCTCCCTGGGGTGGGAGGGCGTAAGAGAGGGGGCTAGGGGGGATCTTGGAGGATTTTAAAAATTACCTGATCTTCCTCTATCGGGCTTAAAAATATTCCCCCTCTGTTGCAGTCAATTTGCAGTCATTTTGATATATATATATATGTATATATTTCTTTTCAACTGATTCCCTTTTCGTTCCCTCCTTAAAAACCATGTGATCCACCCAACAAATTCTTACACCTTCCTCCGCCATAATAAGTTGTGTCTGGTCCACAGGTTACTTTCCTATTGTACTCGTTGAATCTTGCGGGAATAATTCATCAGAAACGTGCGTAAGTTACTCTGCCAGCTGACACCTCGTGCGTCATTCTATAATGGTTACCATATGTTTCATTTTAAAGATGATTGAGATTTGCATTTAGCCTTTTGACTTTGCATAATTTTATGGCGGTTTTTCTTTTTCGCCGGAGCTCCACTGGGTATTATTTCTTACATACAAAAATTATGAAAGCATCGTAGAAGCATGATTCCAAGAAGTTTTCATAAACATCAGGGGAGGAATTTTTTCTTTGTCCCACGCTCGTGACCAGACGGAAAAACATCTTTCTTTGATTCTTTACCGAGCTCAAAACTTACCATCTTTCTCTTCTATCTACAAAAATTACGCTACCGACATAGCTGATCCTAGCAGTATCCAAGACGCGTGTCATATGAACTTCGTCATAGACCTCGCTTACCGTGAAGTCTCTGTGGCTCAGTGGTAGAGCATCGGAGCGCGGAATCCAAAAGTCTGAGGTTCGATTCCTCGTTGGAACTCAGAATTTTTATTTGTCCCACGCTCGTGACAAGACGAAAAACATCTTGCTTTGACAATTGAACTGTTATAAATTATAATAAATATTAAAACATCGTCTGAGTTTCCAAGGAGCAGATAATCTTAGAAAAAGTTTATCATTCAATAGGTCTCTAAGGAACAAAACAAATACTGCAGGGCCTCACTCCAAAATTACACAGAAAATTTTTTTTCATGAAATAATGCGATGAAGACTAAACAGCTCCTTCAAGCTCGTCGATAAAGATTTCCGATATAACCTCGCTTTTTACACCGGTGCCAATTCTTGAAAGACATCGGAAAAAGAACATTCCTTTTGCTTCAAATTACTCTCAAGGAATACCTTACCTTGCTCTTCTTTGCTGAAATATTATACGTGGTTGTCTTGTTAATGTTTTACTAATGGACGGGAGATATTTCATACCGTCTTGAAATATTAATACTCGTCATAATTTTATGCTAATAGCATATAGAAAGTGAACGTTAATAGCTAGCGTCATTCATAATAATTAACATTTTCCTGATAGATGATATATTTATGCTGTATATTGGACCATATTGGAATACCACGAGAAAGAATAGCAATAACCATAATAATGATGGGAAAAAAATCTCATTGCATCCATGATATCGCAGCTCTGTTGCTGCGTCACAGCTTTTTAAAACGTAGTGAATTTGTCAAATGACCATCTTGACTTGACAGTAAACAAAAGTAAAGCCGTCAGTGTATCTGTCATAATTTGAAAATAGTCCATGCCATTATAATTATTGCAACGGAAATTGGACCAGTGGCGTTCAAAACTGTTGATTATGCACGGAGTCTGTTATGTGTTTCAGCCTGTAGGCTATTGACGTCAATGGTTGTGATGTGGAAAAGCCACGTGGAGTTGCCTGAGTCTCCACTGATACAGTCGAGCCTTTATTCCGTGGTCACCCACGGAAAATGGCGGAGTGACGACTTATAAAGATTGGCGCCTAATATAGATTCCACAAAAAAAGAGTTATTACAAAAGAAAAACGGTGAATGGCCACAACTGGCAACTTAGCAAACAAAAATCCTGATTCTGGGAGGTAAACTTGGACTAAATTTTTACTTGAAAGATTATTCTTAGTATTTCAATTTGTGACTAGTTGCGCCTAAGGATAAATTCGATACAGACAGGCCGTCGGGATTCAGTAAAGGGTGACCACGAGTCCATGACCGCGTAATAGAAATGAAAATTAAAGAAATGAAGGAGAAAAATCTCGGGACATTGAAAATTGACCGCTTAATATGGGGTGACTGCTTAATACGGTGCCGTGTAATACAAGTTCCGCTCATATTTTTCTATTTATGTTTTCGATCTTGATGTTTGATGTATATTAAACTTATGGGAAAGATAAAAGATTACAAACACGAATCTTCGTTGACAGACCCATATCTCGGTGTTCAATCACTTTTGTTTCTTTTTGTGTAAACTAGGGATAAGTTGAGTGTTTGCATGCCTTTTAAATTGTTCCTCTTAAAAAAGAATCTGATCGCAAATAATCCGGACAAATAAGCCTAGCTCTTTAGTTTTTACTTTTTTTTTCTGATTATCATTATTTTAATGTACTGTTTAGTTGAGACCTAAATTTGATAATTTTAGTGAAAGATTATTACTTATTATTACTTATTATAACATATTACTTGGGGGTGGTTCGAAAGGTTCATATTATGATAAAAAATTTGTATTGCGGGGGGAGTGATGTTATCTCTTAACGTTCACACGGCAACCAGGTGAACAATCAGACATGGTTTGATGCTACTCTTGTTAACAGATGGCATAGGATAAAATATGGACTGGACTGTTTTTTGGTTCATTTTTTTTGGACCGTTTTATAAGGGGGAAGCACGCCATTAGTTCTCAGGGAGGGGTGAGATGCAGTCTATCTGTACTAAGGGAGGAGTGGGAGGCAGAGTGTTATTACTCAGGGAGGGGTGAGAGACGGACTATTACTACGCAGGGAGGGGTAGGAGATGGTTGTAATAGTAAACACTGCTGGTTAATGGAGCTTTTACTCGATCATACAAAATTATTTTAATCGGTTTTTCGACTGACTTTTTGTACGTCAAAATTTTAGCGCTGGGCCGTGGCTTTTCTTCATTTTTTTGTCATGCGAAAGCGGAACTGCCATGTAAACAATGGACTTTAATTTTTATTGAAAATTTCGCGTTTACGACCCTCCACTGTTGAGTTATGCGTGCGCATTTTAAGTCAACTTGTGCACCATCAGTTGCTTCACGTTTCCCTTTGTGTATACAGTATGTAAGTACTAAATTTATCTATCTTCCTTTTGTCATTGATCTTATCAGATGAGATCACGGAATATCTGGTCCTTAGCCCTTAACTTAGCTGCATATAGAATTCATAAGCGCTTTCGCAATTTTAAAGTTTACACCTTGACTATATAAAATCGGCAGCGGAAGATTTCGAAGAGGAATTCATGTTCTCGAATCTACCAAAACACTGCTGTACTTGCAAAATGGGAAAGCGCAAATATCGATTTCATTTGTTTCACAAACAAAGGAGTTAATCACCGACACCGGAAATCGCGACCAAGTAGGTTTATTTTCCAATTTGCTCGGGCCGCTGCCGATCACTTCCTTCGTAAAATCCTACGAAACCTGCGAGGTGGAACTATGGTGGCTACTGTTGCCTGCCGATATTTTCCGTCGGCAAAACGTAGAAGTCCAGTGTTTACGTGGCAGTTTCGCTTTCGCTTTCGGCAGTGTTTATTATTACAACCACCTCCCACCCCTCCCTGCGTTGTAATAGTCGGTCTCTCACCCCTCCCTGAGTAATAACACTCTGCCTCCCACCCCTCCCTCAATACTAAAAGACTACATCCCGTACTAATGGTGCGCTTTCCCCACCCTTTTAAAATGGTCCAAAAAATAGTCCAGTCTATATTTTACCCTATGCCGTTTTAACCTGCTGTCTTTCCTTGCTTCCGAATCCATGTTGCATTTATCTACTGCCGTAGAAGCGAGAACCATCTTGAAAATAACGATTTTGGAGAGAGATTATCGCTTTTTCGCTGCCTTTTTTTTTTTTAATCAGAAATGGATTTGGATATTGTTGATAGAAAGCCAGTGCAAGTGTTTTTTTGAACAACTATGAGATAAGTAGTAAAATCAACGATTACATTTTCTCCATACGTAAGGTTTATTATGAAATTGACATCGTTTGGATTCCAAATTTAGAAATATGAGCCATAAATTTCCAACAAATAACTCAATAAAGCCTTGTTAGTTTATTTAACGTGTCTAAGTCTTCTTAGAGCTTTTTTCATGGCTAGGTTATATAAAAAGAGTGCTACAACAGCCACCTCGAGGCAGCAGAGGATCGAAATAGTGTAATTGAGCATTAGATATTATCATGAAGTGATTTCATTGACAGTTACGTAGCTTGAACTTGCTTCTTTGTTGTGATCAATAAGAACGAACCAGAGTTGTTAATCAGCTCACAACAGAACCCTTTCTTCTGCGACGATAAGTAGGTAAAAATGGGTGGCTTAAGGAGCGAAGCACAACTGCATACATGTCCACAGTTTCTGCCAGAGTTCCCGATATATGCCTTTTCCTCACAAGATCCGCCAAGGAGTTCGAGGAGAAAAGTGGCACCTCAAAAACCTTTCGATTTTTCTCAAAAAAACTATCGCCTGACCAAGAGATTTCCTCATGTCCTTCATCGCTTATTTCATCCTTCCAAGGAGCGACAGCTAGGTAAAAGCAATTTCCATAAAAGGTAAATTTTCAGACTTCGCAATTTTTTTTTTTAATTTAATATCTTAACATGTACGAAAACAGGCTGTATACACAAAAATACAAATGAAAAGATTGGAATTAGTTATCTCCCGGTGATTTAAGGCTAATTATGTCGAGTCCATTTCGCAATAGACTTAACGCAAAGGAGAGAAGTTTATCGGTAAATTTTATAACATATTTTGTGGTAATTCTAACAAAAACTTTCCAAGGTCGTTCCAAGAAGCAGACAGTCTTTTTCTAAGCTAGATTCGTTTTGGCTGAAGGCTGAAATTGAGTATGCAAACAGAGCCGTTTTTATTCCATTTCTCATCATATCAGTGTTCAAAAAATAGTCTTGGAGACGCATCAATTACTTCGTCCTTTCACACGGCGATGTCTACAGAAAGTGTTACAAAGTTTACTTAAGTCGTTCCAAAGAAACAAACAGCCTTTGTTTATGTTCGATTCGTTTTGGCCGAAGGCTGAAATTGAGTATAGACCAGTATACAAACAGAGCTGTTTTCATTTTTTTCATTTCAAATCAACAGCTGGCTAGTTTTGCATATTGATCGTATCAATCAAGTGTGAATGAAACAAAAAGGGTCAAATAAAAAACGTGGCCGAATTTGATTATTTATAGATATTAGCAGTCAGGACGAAAATTCGTGTTGCTCGACTCCTGGCCACGTCAGTTGGTAATAACAGCAATTAATCTCCGGAGCGCTTAGCAAAAGATACTCTGAGAATTGCGAAGGGCAAACGCAGTGAAAATGCACGCCTCTGTTGCTTGTTCCTTCCTTCTCTCTTTCATTCTCTCGATTTTCACCATAACTGTCCGTGGTGACAACGCTTCAACCATATCAAAGCCGACTCCATTCAAATTAAACGACAAGGCAATAGTCTGCAATGTGGTAAACTCTTCCCCTGACGAAGCCATCAAATCACTTGAAAGGACTCTAGTGGAAACGTTGGAGAAAAAATTCGAACAGCTTATAGCCGCAGTTAACAAAACAGCTGAAGGTGCAGTTAACAAAACAGCAGAAGGTAATCTATCCGATTAATTCCTTGTCACCAATTATTCCACTTGAACTGAATCGTTTCTTTATCTCTTCTGTTTTCTTCCTCTAGCTTCATGTAAAGACATCTATGACAACCACAAGTGAGTTCTATGAATTTCTTTTATTTTCACCTTTAAAGTTCGTCCCCGAAAATAATTTAGTGACCTTACAAAGACACTTTAAAAAAGCTGAAACCTGTGTAACACTGGCATCGACAGTATTTTCAAGGCTTTACTGTCTTTACTATATTGGTGGAGAACAGGCTATCAAGAAAGACGACCAAAACTTGAACAATGCTCTTGCGTTGATTCCGTAACTTTGTGTAATCTTTCGGAACAACCTCGCGAAGTGAGAGCAAAACACCCCGGGATTTACCTTTATTCTTTCAATCACGCACCTTTAACACGCGAATTTTCATCTTAAAATTTCTTCTTAATGTTTATGAAGCATCCCTGAACTGGAACCAATTAGGGTTTTGACGCAAACCCAACACTGAATGGAAATCGTTTTGTTTGTTTTACGATCTGATGTGAAAAAGAAGCAGTCAAGAGAATATACAGTTTTTAAAATAAGATTACTGGCTGATTAATTTGCGGCTGGATCCATCAGAATAAACTGAAACACTTTAGTGGACGAAAATAATCGCGTGCGTTTCAAAATTCGTGGACTTGACTGCCACGCACCTTACATTGTACTCAATTAAAAAAAAATGTAAACCAGCAGTCACAAACAAGACATCCCGTTTCGAGGAAGGAGAGTAAGAGGTTCGTTTTTATTTGAAGTAGGAGGAAACTTTTTAGACAAAGATCGTCGCGTTACAGCGTAAATATTATATGTATTAAGCGACTACGACTATGAGAAGCAAGTTTTGACGGGAAAAAAAAAAATTAGATTGTCGGAACCGGAAGTGCTCGAGTTAAGGAATTAGAAGTAGACTGTGACCGAATTTAAAACTTGGGCTTTAACACAGGTAGTCCAAGTAACTACTAACTGAATACATATGGTGTTCCTCTTCGTAAGGTCCGAAGGAAACAAACCTTACCCCTTACTGGTAAGCCCCCAGAAAAAGGTGCCCGTGTACTGTCACATGGCAAGCCTGGGTGCGTGTGGAGGTGGCGGTTGGACGCTGGTCATGAAAATAGATGGCGATAAGGTGTGAAGAGTTCGGAAGTGTACCTGGGCAATTCGTTCACAAAATTTCTCAAGTTAGCGTTTTAAGAAAGGGTTATTTCAAAATAAAGAAGCCGTCTATAATTCAGTAGGTCTCGAGACAATTTTGCGTAAGACTGGACTCCAAGATGCACAACAATCATTCTTGCGTTAGAGTGACGTCGACGTGTAAACTAAAATATCTTGCCTACGTGGTAGCTGTTCCGCAAGAATGTAAAAAAATATAGTCGAGGTGAGAGATGTCAGACACGTTAAGCACCCACGATGTATCACTCGTGCATGCTGGTCTAAATATCTCACTCTGCTACGTTCTATTAACGACGGTCACTTTTTCGCGCCCTAGCTCTCATTGAACATGTACAGCTTCGAAAAAAAAGAAGCGCTTCTGAAGATATTTATTCGGATTTCCCTGGGTAGAATGCGACAACATCACAAAATATCATCGCCAAAATAGAGAAGAATGAGCCAATGTTATGTGCCAGGAAATTTGATATTTTTCTTTCTATTTATCAGCTTACATTTCGTTACAATTCCCAATTGTGGAACAATAAAGTCGACTTTAACCTTGCTGGTGGGAAGACTGGACTGGACAAGCAGGAGACTAAACTGCCAACCTACTGGAGTACACACTTCTCCAAGATCTGTCTCGGTATGAGGCTCGGCCACCAGGTGCGCTTCATTATGATCAACAAGCATGCAAACTCCCTGTACTCACTGATCGCCGACGGAAAATATCGTGCCACCACATTGGGTCGTTACCAATGGAAGACTCTCTTGGGATCCCAGTCCTCGCTGCAGGAGCATTGTAACCTGGAAGGGTTTAATGTACATCCACGCCCAAATCGCCGCAGGGTCAGAATTGGTATCCTTGGAAATAACGAAAACCATTGCAACTCTAGTGATTCTAGAATTGGTTTTGGTTCTGCTGATTCCTCTAACGTTTGTGGTAATGTGGCTGCATGGAGAGGGGATAATGGAGATAAGCAAATAAAGGCCATGGGATACATTTTCGTTCAGTGACATTTTAGAAAATCTTCATCCTTAACCTGCTTCTTAAGGGGAAGTCGCATAGCAAAATGTAATTAGCTTAATTCTACATAAGCAGGTGTGCTTGTCTTTCATAGGCTGTAAAACGTACGCTTTGGAATAAAAGCATGTTAAGCGGGGCGCTCTTAATACGACAAAGTTTTCACTCTTCAGAGGCGTTAATAGATCAGAAAAACACAAAGAGTTGTAAGACTGAGAAATAAAGTTGGTGATGGGAAAAAAGTGGTTCTTTCTTCAATTGAACAGCACAGGCACATTATTAAAATACAGCGCTACATGCAACCGAGTAAACGAATGACTGAGAGCTTAATATATAGCTACCGACTCCACTTGATGTTGGCAAATTCTTCGCCGCAAAAACTAACCAAGCTCCATGTTTCTCTCGGCCGAATCCGACCCAGCGTAAGTGCCTGTGAAGAGAAATGACAATTCCACAGAAATCATCTTATAAAGTGACGAATAATGAATAAATTAAAGGAACCTTTATGCAACCCCATCATTATATATCTAATAGAAAAATGCTTTTCGAGAGCTATTGGCCCGTACCACAGATCACGCCAAGACCTGGTGAGCTAACGAGTCAAGAGGTGGGTAAGATTCTTTCGAAGTCTTTGACTACTTTTATGGCCTTGTTAAATGTAGTCATTTTGACTGAGACTCGAAGCAACATAACCTTGTGCGATGCTTGGGCGTCAAACCTTCCGTTCTCAATCGCAATACCAATTTTTTTTTTACAGTTTTTCATTCTTTTCTCATAATTACACCTCGGAGAATTAAGTCTTACATTGAACAAAATCCCCTGATTAATTATTTTACGATATTTTCATTACCCTTCTGCTTGGCAACGAAATGCCGATATTCTATGTGAAATTACTCTGTTCCATCTACCTGTCCATCCGAGGCTCTAATGTTCAGTCGCAGCGGAGACTGAAAATTTTGTTCACAATTCAAAGTTGGCCGAATTACACTTTGTCTTGGTCAATAACGTTCAGAGATCTCTCAGCCCGCCTAGCCTTTTGAATGAAAGATAAATATAAAATTATCTGATCTAATGTCGGCACTAAATTGTTCTCTCTAAGCTCCGTGTTTTGTACTCTGATTGAACACACTCTTTCAACCAATTAAATGAAGTCATGTCGATCCAATCCAGGAGGCGATTGACGACCTACTTCTTCCAACTTTGTTCGGTCAATCAGAACCTCTCCCTAACAGGTGCGTCTACTTGTCACCTTAACAACGGCTCAAGGGGGTCTGGGCATGCCAGATTTGAGAGCTGAGAGTTTGCTGCCTCGAAGTACTTTACGTACGTAGTACGTTAGAGGTTTCAGAGCGAGATACAACACTCCTTAGACTGCAAAATAAAAGTCGCCACTGCGGGCATCTTAAGTTTTTTTTTTTTTTTTTTTTTAGGGAAATTTTCAAGCTAAATGCTTTTGTATTATACATGATTTTGAATTTTTATGAAATTTCGTATATTAATTTTATCAATTGTATTTTGTAAATAATCTTGAATTGTGAATAAAGTAATCCTTTTTCTTATTAAATGCGATTAACAATTCATTGCCATCTGCTGCAAGATATATTTATCTTTCTAGGAATACCCTTGTTAACATGTTTGTTATAGGAAACACTCAATTTAACCCTTCAGAAACTGACTGTATGTGATGACAAGCCTTTTTCAAAGACTTTCCACGTTCTGCATCGGGAGCCAATAACTACAAGGCATAATTCCGTGCGAAATCTTTTTATAACCATTCAAAGCCACCTATTTGTTTCAATAAAGTTGCAGACACCCATTGGTCAAATTCTTGAAGAGGAATCCAGAGACACAGCGTAATCACGCATTTACTTATTTGAATTATCAAATAATATTCTTCGAATACACTGATTTTGTCCGCTAAATTACACATTTAACATGAATGCATAACATAGAGATGACATGTATCCTCTCTGTTAAAAACATAGAACAGACGCTTAGTCACTTAAAAAAGAAACTTTTTTTATTACATTTATTTCACTTGGTTGGTTGCGAGTGAGCAACATGAGATATTTCTTAAAAGCAAGTCTGAAGTGCATAAGAGTTTTGAAGGTGGTTTGAAAGGGTAACAAACTCATATAGATGTGAAGTAATACTTTTTACTTTTAAAAGGGTTGGTGAATTATTTCAATCAGGTAAAGAAACACTAAATTCATGGGTGGGAAAATGACAGCTGCTATTGAAATTTGTCGATTGGTTTAAAATCAGAGTGAAAATTTGAAAACTTTCAGCTCCCGTTTCTGATGCATTCAAGTGGATGTAAGCTTAACAGCAGAAGACGATAAAACTTTTCCTTTACATTTAAAATGAGATCAAAATGGCTTTGAGGAGATATCATGGAAGATGTACCCTATGTAGTAATGAATTGTTGACAGGCATCATATTTCAAAATCCTGGAATTTATCAAATGTCATATTGATTATTCATAGGTAAGACGTAGTCAGGATTCGTTTCAGGCGAAATTATTTTTAAATGTATGTTGTAGATCTTATGTCCCGTCAGTGGTAACTGCGAAGATAAGCAAACCTGTTGCAAAGATGGGGAAGCCAAGGTGGTTATACTTGTTGTCTAGAACCTCATGCTGTATGTTGCACTGATAGACGGACCTGTTGTCGTAGGGGCTAGACATGTGATCGAGGTGAATGCGTTCGACCAGGAATAGTACCTAGATATGAATTGCGCCACTCAATTGAAGGCCACTCAACTGGTTTATAGTACTGGTAAGAGTGGACGTGATGGTAAGGCTGGTAATGGATCCAGGGTCGTGATGGGTAACGGTAAACCTTTTCAACAGGTTAAAACAATGTTGAAGAAACGTCCTGAGATCAGCACCTTAAGTGGCCTTGTTTGTCATTACCAGCAATCCGAGACATTTTACTCCCGCGGTCCGCGAGGTCAGTAGTTTCTTCAGGTTCTACTGTTCATGCGCTATGGCGTCAGATTTCATGTAAACATGGAGCGAAGTAGATTTCCGCGGAGGAATCGAGTTGATTATAAAGCACTAAATGTTCTTTCTACAGTGGATTTAGAAGTTCATTTGAAAGGAAGGAGAAAAGGAATCCAAAAATTAAGAAGGTCAATGTAGTTTAACTCATTTCCTCTCTCGTCTTTTATTCCAACAAGCTCATGCCATTTCATCAAAATTGGATACGGGATGTATATTGCCAGAGCTATTCGAGATTCTTGAACGCATTGCTGTTTTATATAAGAAAGAGGAGATTCAGTGACCTTAAGTTGAAATTCTAGGGATTTCTTTTCGAAATCGAGCAAAACATCAGACATTTTTTGACGATTCAGACTGGAATGAGCTCACAGTGATACAAGTTTTGTTTTTTATAATTGGCGCGATTTGGCGCTTGTAGGAGTCTGCAGATTGTTAAAACAGCGGTAAAAAGCGTGGAAATGCTAGGCTGCTAAGCTGAAGTAAATATGGCGACTTTTTTCACGAAGAAAACGATGGAAAGTGGTCGTTCTTCGCGTCCTACAGGACATTCGCGAGCTCAGGTAAAGGTTACGTCTAATAGTGAAAAAGCCCTATTTTCAAGATTGATTTGCGGCCTCCTATTTTATCATGGAAGGCTTTATTTAACGTATTTGAAAGATCGTAAACTGAAGAAAATTTTGAGGGGTCGGCACCGATGAAAGCATGAAACACACGGACAGCTCAAAGCATGGAAGTGAAGGTAAGTGAAGGTATTTGGATGAAACTATAAAGGAAGTACAACCGAAGATCTTTGTTATTTTACCTCTATTCCGCGGCTCGACGAATAAACGAAACGGTGAAAAAACTTTCGCTTCGTAGTGCAGTTGCATATTATTTATCAACGAGAGGTCGGCACGTAGAATTTAATTTACGCAATATGACTCGCATTGCTGGTAATGTCCTGTTTAAAACACCAGTGCCCGGATGGAGCCACTTCTTGCAAGCTGCGTTCCGGAATGCATGAGTACTGCCCCATCAAAAATGCAAGACGTTTGAATATGATTGACACCATTCCATCCCCACTTTCAGAGAAAGGCTTTTCTGGCAAAAGAAATCTTGTTCCCTTGCTTATTAAAAACAATCCTTAAGCTCATACATTTATTTCCATAAACCTATATGTTTGATTATTCAAATATGCCGCGGATTGTTTGAACTTCTAAGTGCTTGGTGTCCTTTTGAGGAAATTAATGAGGAAGTCAGGAGATGATGTTCGCAATAAAATAATTTTAGCTCGGTTTGGAATCATAGGACTGGAATCGCTACCATTATGTTGTCTTTGCTGCTGTTGTTCTAATTTGATTTTCGTCGTTACCTGATCTTTTCCAGACGCCAAGTACCAAACAATCGTGCAGATATGGTTGAGTGAAAAGACAAACTTAACTGATTTCCTTGAACGGATTGATTAATTAAACTAGTTTCGTTACGCAATATATAGCTGGGACTAACTACCGCAAAAACAGCTTAAGACAAGGAAAACTGTAGGCGATTGACGGACGCAGTTCTATTCTGGTAAACCTAAGAAACATTAAACAAAAAATTTACCGTTTTACTTTGTTCCAATGAAGCTATAATAGTTTTTGCATAATTTTAAGCTGAAGTTACGAAAAATTATTCTCGTTAACGAAAATGTCTCAGCTAAGTCCTTCAATATACCGTAACGTACCCTCTTTAGATTATTAAACATATTTGTTTTTGATCACTCCAATTTTCTTTTTGTTCGCTGTTTTGTTAGCTGCGATAGGTTGATTTTATAACGGATTCGTTATTTGTCTTGCTAAAGAACAAAATATTTTGAACCATGCCTATGACTTCTTCTAAGTGATTGTATGAACAGGACGAAAAATTTAAATAGGGGCTTTATTTTGATCCGGCGATATTTTTCCCAAGATAACTATAGTTTAAGAAAACATATATTTCAAAGATTATTTTATGTCCGGTACTTAGGGTTATTTCTTCCCATTGCTTTAAGAACATTAATTAAACGCACAGTAATTTGCGTAAAATAAGAGCCTTTCAGCGTGTTGCCAAACTAGTGCAATATTATTATTTATACACGACAGTTTGATACGTACCTATCACCATAAGCTGTTAAACTGACCTCGTAGAATTTATTTAGAGCGTGTCCACGAAAGCACCGGGCAGTCGTGCTACATGCCATCTCGCCGATTTCAATGAAACTTTGCCAGTTT